AAAGAAAGGATGAACGTATAAATGAAGGATCAGCTCCCTCGTTGTTGATCAGTTCTAACTTGATCAGCAGCTTAGATCTCGGTAGCTTGACTTTGACAATAGGTCCCAGACATTCTCTCGTTGAACAGTCTCTATAACACTCTTTCTCGACTTACACTCTCTTTCAACCCACAACATGCAGTTCCAGCTCCTTGCTCTCGCTACTGCGCTCCTCACGGGAGTGGCCGTTGCTCACCCGGGTCATGACCACACTCTGAGCCACTCAGAGATTGCCCGCCGTTCCAACCTCGCCAAGCGTTGCTCGGTGCAATCCGGCCAGTTCCAGGAGGTTCGCAGGAAGCGTCAGGCCGAGAAACGCTCGCTCGTCAGCCGCTCTCTCGTTCAGCGCGACAGCAATGTCACTATTCATACTGAGGGTCCCCACTATAACACCCTTCAGAACGACACTTGCGTCCTGACGCCCGAGGTCACCAAGGGACCCTATGTCTGGCCTCAGTCTCAAACCCTGCGCCAGGATATGAGCGAAGATCAACCCGGTGTTCCTCTCTATCTGGATATTGGTGTTCTCAACGTCAATACCTGCGAAGTTATGAGCGACGTCTTAGTCGTAAGCACCCCTAATCCCAATCTGAATCATGATGTTGAGCGCTGACCATCACCAGGACCTTTGGCACTGCAACGCTGTAAGTAAATCGAAAGGCTTCAACCCTCACACGTTGACTAACTGGATTGCCCATAGACCGGATCTTACAGCTCATTCACGGGCCACAGCCCCAACACTCCCTTCGAAGAGCTCCTCGACCAGCTCAACGTCACTATCGGCCCCGATCTGGACCTGCACACCGACGCCACCACCTGGCTCCGCGGCATCTGGCCTACCGACTCTAACGGCATCATGGAGATGAAGACCGTCTTCCCCGGTTTCTACGTCGAGCGCACCATTCACATCCACGCCCAGGTCCACACCGACTGGTCCGTCCGCAGCAACGGCACCGTCGTCGCTTCCAACATTGTCAGCACCGGCCAGCTCTTCTTCGACGAGCCCCTCAGCCAGCAGATCATGGCCCTCGAGCCCTACGTCAGCCACACCGAGATCAACCGCACTACCAACGACATTGACAGCATCTTTGCGGATGAGAGCAAGGGTAACTGGAACCCCAACATGGTTGTCGAGCCCCTCGACGGTGAGGATGTTACCAAGGGCATGCTCGCCTACATCACCATCGGTGTTGAGGCATAAATGGCGCAAGACGGACTATGAATTTTGTATCGGATATTCTAGAGAGGCCGGCGTCTGGGTTAGTTGATGCTTAGAAGTTCGGAGATGACAAATAAATCACCAAATTATTGGGAAATCCTCACCTTTGCCGACAATAAGACAAGCTACATATTTCTTTCACGTGAATGGAAATTGCACTTGAAAATATTGTACATTGGTATCGTTCATGTCATTATGTACTTTAAGTACACGTCGTTGGTAGTCAACCTTCGCAATGCGTGCTCATAGCAGCCTACTTCGTACTTATACCCCTTTAGCTGCGTTCACACTCTTTGCTGTTCAAAGGTTTTTGGGCTCCAATTGCTCCTCGGGAGCTTCAATGACGCGACGTCCACCCTTGGAACGTCGATCGGCGTCCAGGGACTGAGCAAACTTGGACCTCTCTCTAATGACGGGCCCCTTCCAGTAAATGAGATATACTGGAATGGTGACCATGAATGCCAGGCAGGCAAGGACAGTGCTTGCATACTCAGTGTGTCGTGAACTTCCAATGTTCTCATACAATGGAGTAGAGTACATCGCTGCAATGCCAGCAAGGAAGTCTCGTGCAAACCCATTACCTCCGGTAGCAGACGCAGAGTAGGGTCCGTATGCGGCGATCATGTAATCGACCGTACTCATGTAAATGGCAAAGTTGGCAATGGCGATGAGGCAGGAGAAGATCATGGGCGCGATCCAATGAGATTCGGGAGGTCCCATGGAGGTCCAAGCGAAGCCGAAGAGCCCAATGGTTTCGAGGGGTGCAAGATACAGCAACCACTTCAGGCGACGCTCAGGTGCGAGTGCATCAGGACCTTTCGCCTTGATGACACGATGGTCTCTGATGATCCATGGCACATAGGAGATGTAAGCGAGGATATAGCCGATATTGATTGGGATGAAAGCCCAGGCCTTTTGCAGAGTCCCGAAACCCCACTTGTTGAACACCGGCGTGAAACCTTCTTGGAAGGTGAAGATAAGGGCATCGGAGAAACCTGAAAGCAGAGAGCAGGAGAGAACGATGGGCTCTCTAAGGAACATCTCAAAGGGACGCATCCACGTGATGGCAAACTCGTGCATCGAAAGCCGAGGCTTCTTGACCTCGTTGGGTCCGTAGATATTGGTATCTTCGCCGGATGTGCGTCGCCGCTTTGCTTCCCTGTCCATGATTATGGTGGAGCGGCTCTCGGGCATGAAGAAGTGGACGGCTTGGACGACAACGCCGAAGATCATCTGAATCCACAGATTCCAGTACCACGGAAGAAACTTCTGAATAGGTCCTCCAGCGACAGGGCCGACGGAAGTTCCGAGAACGGAAGACAGAACGACGAAGAGGACTGCCCACTGCTGCTCCTCGGGCTGGTAGAGATCAGCAACCATGCCGAGAGTCACACTACCTCCAGCTGAGCTGAGACCGCCCTATTCAGATCAAGCATAGTCAGTTACTGGCTCACTAGCATAGAAAGATCTCTGACTTACTAGGGCTCGAGCGACAACTATGCTGCCGAAATTTGGAGCCAGTGCAGCAAGGATCTGCCATATGTTGACGAGGAATAGGGAGCATCTAGACTCAATATTAGTTGTGAATAGCTAGAGTGGCCTCTAAGTGCTTACTGCAAGATCTTCCATCGTCCGAACTCCTCACTCCAAGGAGCCCACAGCTCACATCCAAAAGCGTAGAGAACTAAGAAAGCACACTGTGCACTACGTGCCGCCTGCTCACTGACATGGAACTCCTCGCTGATAGGAGTAACAGCGCTAGGAAAGACACTAGTGTTGAAGTTCATAGACACCTGAACGGCAAAAATAGAGGAGAGAAGCATCCACTTTTTCCATGCCGGCCACGAGTATCCCAGCAGATGATAGCACTCATCCTCGGTGATGACACGCTTCCCATCGGGGGTGTACTCACGCTGCTTGCTGCTCGTTGCCCTTGCTAGGTCTTCCTGCCTGCGCGTGCCTTCAGCCTCTTCGTCTCGGCCCAAGCCGCCTTCAAAGAAGCCCCCGGTTGGCGCATCCTCGGACTTTTCGTTGAGGGGCTGTTGTGGTTTCTCGCCGTCAAAGCTCCGGTCGACGCGTGTTACGCTGCTGTCTCGGGTCGGAATCATCTCATCGACGTTGCTTGGTCGCGAGGCCCGCGAATTATCACCAGAAGGCGCTGAAACCATGTTGACAATACTATCTCTGACGAATAGCTGCCTCGACCCAGACGGTAGGTGTGACAATGCTTGCCTTTGACGTCAGATTGAGGTCAGAAGAACCCTAAAATATTGACCTGGTGTGCGTCGCGATCGTCGATTTGAATGTGATAGGTGTGCTGACGGAAATTCATAAAATCAGGAACAACCCATCTCAGAAGTCGATGGTGAATGCTATCTAGAACATCTGCCCCAGATCTCCCTTCCCCGGGTCTTCGGGCTTGTTTATCAACTTCCAGATTTTCCACACGGAAGGCAAAGTTTCCTGCGTTTAGTTGGAGATATGACGCTATCCTGCCAAGAGTCTACTTGCGATGTTACTGCAGCGTGTCTATCGGTGAAAAAGAGGATCCGAGGTAAGGTCCAGAAAAGTCTCCCTTTCTGAGTTGAGGTTCTCCCGCATCCTCCTCTAATTCGGCTTTCCTAACCAGCGAAGCCGAAACACTGGGAACCTTTCTGCCATTTTTCTGCTCATCTCTGGGGTTTCAATCGAAGAAACGGTCGCATATCTACTGCAACCTGACATCATCATCCCGTAGAAATACTCAGATTTGCGGGTCGGCGGTGGAAACAATGACGGAAATCTGGAGCCGGTGAAGCGCGGGCCACCCAGTTCATCGGCGATACTCGCGGTGTTGATGTGGGTTTCGTTCATGTCGCCTCAACCGAACTTGGAAATTGCACAATTGCGATGGTTTTCAGCTGTCCTAACACGGGCGAAATTCCAGGTCACTCTGATGTTGTGGGATGGAGACTGGCTTATGGTTGTTGTTCAAGCGTAACCGTCTAGCTGGAGACCATGCTGCGCGATGATGTATCCAGAGAGTGGGCACAGTTGGCTCACTCTAAGCGTCTAGTAGGGTGCTTTTGCCAACGTCTGAAATAATGCGATGAAATTACAAGACTCAGGAATTAAACTTGCGTAGATAGGTCGAGCATCAACTGATCCTGTCTTATCTTTTCCACTCGAAAAGCCTTCCGGGATGCAAGAGCTAGTATACGAAGGGCCGGTCGCTCAAAGCGGGGCCGCGTCCGAAGGTGGGGCCGTGGTGAAGTCGGGTTTGTCCGTACCAAGTCAAGCCGAGTAAATACCGGTTCTGGACCCTAGTCCCTTCACAAATGCAATTTAGAATGTGATTTACCTCACGTGTAATCGCGTTCGAACTCGTTGCGAAAGAAATTGGGGTGGTCGGAAAACATGTTATGCAATAGGGACAGCACGCAATTTTTGGCTGTGGTCGCGAGCGATCACAACTAGAGGGACTTGCTGTAGAAGATACTTGTTCAAACAAGCAAACTTTATAAGAAACAGATACTCAATATCTACGATAGACTGGGTTTACAGAGAGACCCTCCTGTCATGGATTCGAAAAGGTACATACGCTGAGAAACTTGTATTTCACTTGTCCCACAGACTGGAGGCATTCTTCTGTGGTCGGGATGCTCCGAAAAAGCCAGCTCAACCAAGCCAGCCAAGCAGTCTTGGAAATTTGACTGGAAACTGTGGCCCTATGGCAGAGCCAGCAGAGGATGGGTCCAGCAAGTTAAACAATAACGCACACTAGTATGTACAGACTCATCATTCCAACCATGGACAGGCTAGACATCCGCAGCGTTTTCGACGACTGGTTGACGTAGAGGGCGGTGAGAGACCGTGAGACAACGTGCATCAGTCTTGACATGTGAAAGACAAATACGGAAACAAGCTTCAAAGATAGCAGCAACCACAAGTTCAGGAATGCTACTGCAATTGGTTGCGGAAATAGCATTAGCCGGTGATAAGGGTTGTGATGCGCTGCGGGTGCCTTGCAGCGCATGGCGTGGTTGCAGCCGGAATCACCAAGACGTGGCGGCTCAAGAGAAGGGTTCCGGATCGACATCGAACACACATTGACAGAGCCGATAATCGCCATTCAAGAACCAGAGGGGTAAGTAAGTTGGGCAAAAACTCATCTGTATTTGCTGGGATCGGAAAACGGGTCCCGAAGCAAGATTGATTGAAGAGCCGGGGGCTCGTGGCTGAGAACTGCCTATTGAATCTGGATAGGAAATTTCAGAGCGAGACGAACAGTGGCGCAAGGGTCTGGACCCCTGTGAAAGTCTTGCAAGTGGAGCCCCGATGACGGATCTTGGAGGCGGAAACTGCCCGGTTCTATCTAAAATTCTAATTCTCTTCTTCGAGGCATCGAAATGTTTAGTGTTCTTCAGCCCTACAGATAGACAAAAACAGCGACGGCGTAACGAAACGGACCCCCATGCCAAGATGTCTAAAAGTTTTCACTCCGTTGGGTTGAGATTTTCGGCACCATCCCGCCGGTGGCCCCCTCACGAGTCACACACTCACTTAGACCCGGCTCTTAGATTTTACCCAACAGCGCTTGCTTGACAAACATTGGGAAAGGTTCAGTGACAAGGGACACTTGTGGTGTCCGGCGTGAGATTGGCGCGCAAACAAGCCTGTGGAAACCTGTGGAGCATCGCGACATGAGAATCGCCTGAGGTCTGGGAGATGAACATGACAAAAGTCTGCCATGTGGCAAACTCTGCAGCCACTGCCCAACTGATAAGGGTTTATTAGGTTGATATCATTGCAACCTTTCTCATGGAGCGAGTCCATCACGAACACTACATTGTTCACCGCGGTTTCATGTATTTCAATATCGTGAGACGCTGATGAATTTCGAAATCGTTTCCTGTGGTTGACGTCCTTCCACATAACCTCATTTTCCCTTGTAATTTTCACTCCTTTTTTGCAACAGAAACAACAAAAGATGCCCCACGACAAGCACTCTCTTAACCACCGGGTCTCGGTGGACGGTGACGGCGAGCCTCTCGGCCGCCGCACCTCAGCGCTTGAGGAAGCCCCGACTTTCGTTCCACCAGCGGGTTACCCAGGCATGCCCGTCACTCGCCGCCGAAGCACAGTCTCTCAAACCTCGCCCGTAACATTCGAGCACGACCAGTCAGAGGACCTCGATGAGCTTGTACGAAGCGCATCTGCCATCAGCCGGCACAGGTCAAGGGATAGGCGCGAGTCCAAAGACAACGTCTTTGAGTTGCCCGCCTTCCCCAAAGCCGCGAAACCCGGCCCCGTAAGCACCATTCGCGAAGTCCCTTCCCAGTTCACTACCCCTCAATCAACGCGGCCGCCGTCCCCCGTCTCCGGCTTGAGCTCGGGCCCGCCCTCACCCGGAGGTGGGTCCGGTACCCAGACGCCCGCTGAGTACGAGATCGGCGCAGGGCAAGCCTACCCGGACGTCGGCACTGTCGCATCGTTCCGAGGAGCCATCGTGCTGCTCTGCACCTGCGGCGCTCAGCTCATGGACAACATCTTCATGACGGCCGTCAATATTGCGCTCCCCGCCATCCAGAAAGACTTCAAGGTTAAGAATGCAGAGCTGCAGTGGCTGATCTCGGCATACACCTTGACCTTTGGTGGCTTCCTTCTTCTCGCCGGCGTCTTTGCTGATCGCTTTGGTCGCAAGATGATCTTCTGCGCGGGGATGGCTACGCTGAGTGTATGGACAATCGCCAATGGTTTCGCGACCTCGTTCATTCAGCTGGCCATCTTCCGAGCTTTGCAGGGTATCGGCGCTGCCATGACCGTGCCTTCGGCTGTCGGCATCATCAGCAACTACTTCATCGCCAAAGACCGCACGCTTGCACTGACAATCTTTGGTGCTGCGGGTGCCGTTGGGTTCTGCCTGGGTCTTATCTTTGGAGGCTTCTTGACTTCGTCGCTTGGCTGGCGGTACATCTTCTACATCCCCACTGCCGTCACCAGTATTCTTGGCATTATCGGCTGGGGTCTTCTCCCCAAGGACAGACTTGAGGGCACCGCGAAGCCCAAGCTCGATTTTGTTGGCGCTGGCTTGTCGACTGCTGGCCTCATCCTGCTCAGCTTCGTGCTTTCGAGTGGTGGTGAGTACGGATGGGGCAAGGCCTTCATCATCGCGCTGCTGGTCGTCAGTATCGCCATGATTGTTGCCTTCACCTACGTTGAGAAGAAGGTTGCCAACCCCATCATGCCGCTGTCGCTATGGAAGCTCGAGAACTTTGCTGCTCTTTGGATCGGTGGCTTCGGTAAGTCATACACCTTTCTTCAATACCAAGACCATGTGCTTACCCTTGAACAGTTTCATATGGAGGATATCAGACCACGATCTACTACACCACTCTCATCGCCCAAGAGGTCAACCAACTTAGCGCAGGTCAGACCGCCCTCCGGTTCCTCCCCATGGGCGCAACCGGCTTCATCTTCAGCCTCTCCATGTCCCGCATGCTCGAGATCTTCAACACTAAGCTCCTCCTTGTAATCGGCATGGCCATCTGCGCTATCGCGCCTATCCCTTCCGCGCTCATGCGACAAGACGACCTCAACTTCTGGAAGCACGTCTTTCCGACCACCGTCATGGGTGTGGCGGGCGTAACTATCGTCTACTGCACTATCACCGTCGTGCTGCTGGCTTCGGTGCCGGTCAACGTCAAGAGCCTTTGCGGCGGCATGATCAACACGGCTTTCCAGATTGGCAGCGGCGTCAGTCTCGCTTTGGCAGGTGCTGTTGTCCAGGCTGTTGACACTAGCAAGGGACATAGTGACCTGCGGCAGTACAACACTGGTTTGCTGTGCTGCTGTGGTCTCGCTGGCATCGGCATGATTGCTAGCGCGTTTGGAGTGAAGAACATTGGCAAGGCGGTGGGCGGGCCTGTGATGGCACATTAATGACTTGATGACGAACTCAAAGACAATAGAGGCATAGAAAAAGCGGCCATAACGGAACATCTGAATGTTTGCAAATAGACTGCTGCTTGTTTAGATGCATAATTTCGTATAGACTTAGACTTGGTTCAGTTAGCGATTATAATATGAGGAAAGAGCGAATCCTTTTGCGGTAGCTGACTCTTGAGCGTTGAAATCTGAAATAAGAGATCTTGATGGCTATGCGGAGTTATTACAATGTGTTTTTGTCTCGTAGAAATATACCTTTTGGGGTGCAAGGAGGATCACTTTGATTCTGAGGCGATTTCAAATGACTTAACTTATACAGGCAATTGGGCCATCTATGAATTAGGTACCAATAGAGCGATACTGTTTCGCGTAGCATCGATGTCATACTCAGATCGTGCCTATATGCCTACACTGGAAAATTTCATGATGCCTCAGAGACCGTTCGAAGATGTGACGGAAAGAGTTGGATCGATTCGCCGTTGCTTGCGTCAGCACGAAAGATCCGAATCCTTTCGGGTCCATCCCACTCGGCTCAAACAGCAACAGTGAACTGGTGAGCAACACAACCAGCACAATCCGAGTCTTCCATCGATCGTTAGAGCAGAGAAAAGGATGCGAAAAAACTTATGAAACCATTGCATATTCTGTAATAAAGCTATCATTCTCACAATAAGATCAACTTAGTATTGGCTTGGATCGTCCGGGCCGCCGTGAAGTTGCCGGTTGGGGCCTACCCTTGCACTCAATCAGGCCCCACTCGGCGTCCGTTTTCTTTCCGAAGGTGCTCGGAGCTTACGGATGTGGCAGAACACCGCATCCCGTGTGCTTGTTTCAGCGGCATCAATGGTTACTATATAATCTAATATTTGGATATAGGCTGACGCCTATCAATTGATCGAGTCAATTTCGTACTGACTCTCTCAGTACCACAATGGCGTTCGGAATTCCTTCAATCATGACAACCCTTGCTCCCTACCATATCATCTCTTACGGGACACTACTCGGCACGTCACTGTTTCAGACGTTTATCAACACCAAAATCTGCTATCTCGAACTTCCCAAGTCCGCATTCACTACATTACAGAAGCGCCTGTTTCCGATATACTTCCGATGCCAGGCACTTCTCCTTGTCTTGACAGTCCTCACGTTCCCCCCTCATGGCCTAACATCCTTGTTCAAGGTGAAGAGCAACTGGATCCCGCTCATGGTTGCGGGGGTAGCATCCTTGGCGAACCTGCTCGTCTACGGGCCGAGGTCTAGACAGGCGATGATTGATCGCACGCATCAAGGTGAGCCCGGCCAACACGTTCTTACTACCATTCCTCTCTTCATATCTAACACCGAAAAGAAACACGCGATGCGAGACGTCCTGGGGATGTCGATGAACCGAGTCCAGACATGCTTGCTGTAAGAAGACGGTTTTCAAGAAACCACGCAATGAGCATTCACCTCAACCTCGTCGCGGTCATCGCGATGTTGTGGTACGGTTTCAGCCTGGCATCTCGCATCCACATTGAAGTAGATTCATAAATGCGGCTTTGTGGGTACTACTGCTAGATTCAAGATTGATCTCCTTCCCTGTACCTCACTATCTCAGCATGTACACATGCGCCTTACGTAGACTTAACGCGTAGCCACGAATTAACGGTCTCTCAACTCCTTTGAAATGTTCCTAGTAGCTGGATGATTTGATCGTTAGCTGCGCAGACCTGGGGTAAACTGGGTGTTGCTAGTGCCCTAGAAAAAAGCACTGTAGCGCATGAGTAATGCTAGCCGCAGCCGAGAGCCCGCGGTGTTTTGTGACTTACTTCTCCACATTTCGGTAGTAAAATCTAGTCACCTCGGCTTCTTCAATCTTCAAGCTGGCGACGCCTCCGAAAGAACACACCGTTGACATCGAATAACCTCGCCGACTTGCGAATTACGTGCGCTCATCCACCTGAGATTTGACTTTGGGATAATGAGCGGAAATTCCTCTTCGACTAGTGCTGTGAAGCCTGGGATTGATCGCGCTCGCGTGGCTTGCAAAGCGTGCAGGTCCAGACGGGTCAAATGTGACGCAGGGGACGCTCATCCCTGCTGGCAATGCCGGACACGCCAAATCCCTTGCGAGCTTGTAGAGTCAAGGAGGGGCAAGTAGGTGTTTTCGCCCAGCCCGATGCAAGTCCTTTAATGCAAAGAAGCTCACGACGCGCCAGATATATCCGTAAAAAGCGCAACTTGCAACGCAATGAACATGAACCCCAGGCTCAATCTTCACAAGTACAGCCCGGGAGAAATGAGCGGGGCTTAGTAGAGCAAGAGACGGAAGCCCCGACTGAAGTTTTCATCGAAGACAGCAGCTTCACTAACAGCCCCGTCACGTCCGATGGGATTAGTAACGATGGCCAACTCCAACCAAGTCAAACACAGAGAAATCAAAGGCAACATCCTTGTTCGGTAGATTTGAGTCTATCTTACATCGTCGAGGTTGTCCACAGACCAAAAGATGGCTCAACCGAGCCCGTCAAAGTCCACTATCCTATCCCGGCTTGCATCGCAGACCAGTCTGCCTACAATCATGTACCCAAGGTCATAGAGACGATTTCTCTTCAAGAGGCGCTCACAATGCCGGCTCCAGAAATCGCGGACCAGCTCATCCGTCCTTTCTTCGAGATCATGCATGTAGCGTACCCCGTGTTCGACCGAGAGAACTTCTCACGACAGTACCGTCAAGGCCAGGCATCGCCTCTAGTCCTGCAGGCTATGTTCCTCCTCGGTTTCACGGTATGCGATGACAGTCTCATCGAGGAAGCTGGCTTTACTGATCGAGCTACGGCGAGGAGAACGCATTATCTTCGCGCCAAAGCTCTTTACGATGCGGAGTACGAGAGTGATCACATGAATCTTGTGGCTGTTATGCTGCTTCTAGGTTTCTGGTGGGCTGGCCCGGAAGACCAAAAGGATAATTGCTACTGGGTCAATTGTGCCGCGACTATGGCTCAGTCTCTCGGCATGCACAGGTCGTATGTTGCAACTAGCCTATTGCCTTTCTCTCAATCAACAGTGGATGCTCATAATGTTCAGGGTGTCACACTCGGCCTTGAGTCCACGGATACGATCACTTAGGAAGAGGATTTGGTGGGCCATCTACGTAAGTCCAATACCTATATAGGTTACTTGGCAGACTGAAGTTGATCATCGCATTCTCTTAGACCCGCGATAGACACACCTCTGCAGCATTCGGCCGACCATGTCGGATCCGTGATGAGGACTGCGACATAGAGCCTTTAACCGAGGAGGACTTTGAGTTCGATAAGAACGGCGATGAAAGACTGATACCAGCTCAGCACAAGTACCACGTAGCATATGTCATGGAGATGGCGAAACTGACTACAATATGTGAGCGTCTGCCCTCGAGTCTAGACTGATGACCTCTCAACCTATTCCGGTGCGAACCTAACATACCTTCATAGTGGGAGATATAATAGTCGCTGAGTTCAGCCCACGTCGTGCTATGATTGAGAAGTACGAAGCCAAGTCGCTGAAGAAAGAGCTCCGCCGATGGAATTCAAGTCTGCCGGCGCACCTGAGTCCAGCGCCGCTCGATGGCTCGCTCGGCGCTTCATTCTGGGCTAGCATGGTTCAGTTCACTTATCAGTAAATGCCCTGAACTCATCTTAAAATGGAAATCCTGGGTTGACGCTCTATAGATACTGCCATATCCTCCTGTTCAGACCGAAGGCTATCGATAACCTCACGCCAGCAGAGTCAGAAAGAGACAAGCAAGCTCGCATGGCAGCGGACGCCATCACTCGCAATGCAGAAGACCTACTCGCTGCTGAGACTATCAGATCCGCACAGATCCATCTGTAAGAACTACCTAAATGAGGCTTGTAATGCCGACTTCTGACAGTATCCAGTGTCCCGACATTATTTGGCGCTCTTTCCATCCATACCATCGTCATTTGCCGCAAAGACCCAATCCGCCGGCAACTAGCCGAAAACAAATCACGGCAATGCTTGCTGGCGTTGAGTCAACTGTCGAAGTCCTGGCCTGTCAGGTTATGGATATCAAAATCGTTCGTCAGTCTGATGAGAAGACTTACCGGTCAGGGGTCCATCGTCAACGTGACATCTAGCATCGTGAGTACTCTCGGTTTTTCCTCGGCACTACGTCATTCTATAGCGTGCAAGTCCTAACGGGAGTCGAAGCATGGCCCAAACTACCGAACATTTGCCCCGCAGTACGCGGGCGAAGAAGGCAATCCAGCTGTATTAAGTTCGTTCCGTGGCAGTGACGGAGTCTTGGATTCTGCAGGCCTCAATCCATCCCAGCCCGAGGCACCATCGGGAACTGAGAGCTCTCATCAGGCAACTGATCAGATGTTTTATGACACTTTCTGGGCGGACTACCTGGATAACACTTTTGATGTTGATCTTCTCATACACTCTCATTCGGGCTTTCCTAGCAATCCTGCCGGGCAGCAATGAAAGACTATTGATTAGATAATTGAGTTGAAGAGAATCCGCTGGAAATTCTGTAGTACTACCATACGACAGTTTATTATTAAGATCAAGCACAAGAAGTAAAGTGTAATCATCAGTGTTCGTGCAATAGACGAACCAATGCTCCCTGGTTTGGTTTGGTGAAAATCCACGCTTAACTATATTTGGGTTCCATCAAAGGGTGTTCCTTTTATGTACAAGTTCATATCTTGCTATATCGAAATCGAAATGAAGGAAAAACTGCTGGATCGGTTTATGTCCTTGTACTGGGCAATTATATACTCTTGACGAACGGCGCTCTACATTGGTTGAACGTAGCACTGAGTAGGTCGTCTGATCTGGGCATCTGTCGACCCATATGTGCTCAGGCGACTCTCAAGCTCAGGGAACTCGAAGCTGAGAAGAAGCATGCTTATCATAAACTTCATTTCCAATAACGCAATTTTCCTTCCGAAACAACCTCTCGCACCGGTTGAGAACGGCAAGGATGGGCCCGCAATAGCGTTGAATGTGCCATCGGAGCGCATCCATCTTTCCGGCACAAACTGATCTAGGGGTGCCAAGTTGGTGTCCCAGCGTTTGGATTTTCGCTCACTGCCGTACTCTGTATAGTATTCCTGTAAATAAGAGGGTCCACCTGTAACTAGGAGAACGGGGGTCCCAGCCGGGATGTTGACTCCTAGGATCTGGCACCCAGTGATCGTCTCTCTGAAAGCCACAGGGCCAGGGTACGATACACGGAGGACCTCGGCAATGAACGCATCCAAGTATGGCACATCTGTTGAAGCGATATCAGAAGCAGTTGGGAGTCCAGGTTTATCGAGCCCGAAAGCGTCAACGAGGGCGCTTCTCAGGCGTGCTTGTACAGCCTGGTTGTCTGCCAGGTGCTTCAACGCCCATCCGAGCCCGGCACTTGTTGTCTCATGGCCAAAGATGAGGAACTGGAATAACTCGTCCCTTATCTGGCCTTGAGTTGAGGGGTCGATGTAGAACATCGAGTTTCTTTTCAAGACTTCATGTAAGCCACATCTCGGATGTCTCTGGTCTCCATTTTGACTCTGGATGCGAACAAGCGCAGCATTGATCTCATAGTTGAGGATGTTTGTGACGGCAGCCTGGGCACGGCGAAAGTATGAGAGCTGGCCTATAACCCACTTCGACAGACGCACACTGATGCTCGTCGTCACCCAGTTGAGACATTGGAGCAAGATTTCCATTGAGTGAACCAACAGTGGCCCATCCCTGCATGGTCCAAGATCTCCTTTGTTTAGTGATTGCGCTTTAGGGTTTACTTTTTGTATCTCTTGTTGGAGCATGCCAAGGTCTAAGCCCAATGAGATTGCGCCAATGGCGTCTAGAGCGGTTGATTTGAGGTCATCTGTGGCTCTGAACGGTTGTTGGTTGTTGGCCTTGGACCTGAGCTTCCATAAGTCGATGAGTCGTGATATGGACTCATGGAACCTGGGAGCAGCGACCTCATGGAGGAACTGCGATGAAGAAACAACGCCCCATAAGCGTCGTTGAGACTTCAACTTGTCATTTGTCTTCATACTGAACGTTGCGTTCGGCATGATGAAGCCAAACATGTCGTGGATGAGCGATGCCCTGTCCATCTCACCCAGTTTCCTCATGGCAATTTCCTCGATTTCTGGTAGGTCGGCCAGAATCACAGTGGGTCTCCTGAGGGAGAAGGTCGGGAGGAATATCTGCACGATCGGTGACTTGAGATCGAGTGATTCCCGAGAAAACCAGCTGAATGCTTCACCGCTCAGGAGCCAGTAAGTGCCGAGGGGGGCGAGGTGTCCCGCTGGCATCCATCGCCATCTCCGTTTGTAAGGGATGCCCGGGATTGGGGGCGGAACCGTCAGGTGGATGATGAGAAGGTAGAATGAGAGTGAGACACCGACGACCAATGCCAAGGTTGTCTTCTGGATGTCGATAATGGGGGTCAAGCCCCAGAATGCTCCACTGCCGGGCATTTTTGGAGGATGGAGATGCTGGTATCAAACATGGTGAAGTTGGAAGAAAAATGGGTGTACGACCACCTGAAATGGAAATACGGATTTCCAGGTTGACAATGTCCAACTGACTTGCTGCAGACAATCACAAAGGAGCAAATTGTCAGTGGCGTCCTCGGCGAAGGCCCCAAATTGTGACTAGGCAACAGCAAACTCAATAGAGGGGCTTTTTAGCGGCTGCGCGGTGAGATATCGATGCTGTCAACATCATAAGCGCTTGTCTTAGAGTGACAGCACGTAGGCTGAACGAGGATTGTTTCATTGGTTGGTTTTGCCCAGCGATTGGCTGACACGGACTTTGATGCTCAATATAGCAAGCTGATGTTTAGTCGACGCGCCTGAGTTGTGCAGCTTGCATCCTGCGCCGTAAGACGGGGTCTGGATTCGAATCCTTGTCAGCAACTTTCACAAGATTGCCGTCCGCGTGCCGAACCACACATAGGATGACCGTGGTGGTGCCCCCTCAATCTCATTCCCGCCATCCGGATTATGTGAGACCGATGGTCGGAAAGGAATTTAGCTTTTTTGGTATTCTTACTTTGTCTCCTCTGCCCACCTCAACTGTGTCGCAAAATCGAGAGGCGCTCTAGGATTGAGAGCACGATGATTAGCAGCACCGCAACACCACAACCCATCACACCTAGGCCCTCTCACGATCTCTATCCACAACTCCACATGAGTTGATCATCAGCGTCGATGGTTTAGTGGTAAAATTCTCCGTTGCCATCAAGCAGCGTCGGGGAGCCGGGGGTTCGATTCCCCCTCGACGCAATCTTTTGCATTCTACAGCGCATTAGACTTGACTCTTTTACATTTTGTTGCAATTGCTATCAAAATTTCGATGTTGCAAAGGCTTTGAACAAAATGGATTCGTAACTTCAAAGTCTTGCTACAGAGTCCTCAGTCAACATATGCTTTTGGACCTTTCCTGACCCTGTACGAGGAAAGCTCCCGACAAAGACAGTCTCTCTCGGAATCTTGAACCGAGCAATTAGTGACTGACAATGGCTGACCAAATCCCCGTGAGTCAGCTGAGAGTTTGGCGCTATAATGACATAGGCACGCCCGGCTTCGCCCCAGAGCTGATCGGAAACGCCCACAACTGCAACATCTAATACCCCGGGATGCTCAGCCAGTGCAGCCTCAACTTCGGCGGGATACACATTCTCTCCCCCAGATATGAACATGTTCTTGCGCCTGTCGATAAGAAAAATGTAGCCCTCCTCGTCGACCCGCCCGATGTCCCCAGTCCGAAACCAGCCGTCTTCAGTGAAGGCAACCATATTATCGTCTAGTCTATTCCAGTAGCCCGGCATGACGCTCGGGCCTGAGACCAATATCTCACCAGGCTCACCAACGGGAACTTCCTGGTCACCTCCGTCCACAACTCGGACCGCCGTCAACGGGCCCGGAAGACCCACTGAACCGGCCTTACTGCTAATGAGCTCTGCTGACAGCGGCATTCCAGAGCACGTCCCCATTTCAGTTGATCCATAGCCATCCACCATTCGGACCCCACGACCCAGCCACCACTTGATCCTAGCTGGAGGGTTGGGCGCACCACCAGTAAAGAGGGCTTTCAAGGCTGACCATGCTGATGGGTTGAAATTTGATGCGCCGGCAAGAGCCTCGGCCATCTGAGGCACGCAAAAGTAGTGAGTGACGCCGAGTCCGGCATCGCTCAGGCGGACATTGGTTGTTTCCGGTTGAAATTTGGAAGAGACGATGAAGGTGCCACCTCTCATGAGCGAGGGCCATATCTGGGCGACGAGCCCCATGAAGTGGAACATGGGACCGTCGCACAAGAAGACGCTCCCCGTATCGACTTCTGTCAAAATGCTAAAATTGAATGTCGTCGCCAAGATACTCTGACCGGTCAACATAACCCCCTTGGGCGCCCCAGAGGTTCCGGATGTGTAAAGAATGATGCACGTCTCGTGCAAAGGCCGCGCTTCCAGCCGAGGGCCAGGCTCTGCGGCATCCACGCTCGCACAGAATGTCAAAAACCCAATGTGGCGACAGCCAAGAGGCAGTTCCGGTGGATCGTCGTGATCTGTGAAGAGAATGGTCGGGGTGCAGTCGGCCAACAGCTTCGCGAGCTCGGGCCGGGCGAGGCGCCAGTTCAGCGGGACATGGATTGCGCCCAGCCTCATCAGTGCTTGTTGCAGAATGATCTGATGGACATTATTGACCGATACGGTCGCCACTCTGTCACCGATCTGGACCCCATGCTCGGATAGGACCGCGGTTGCGCGTTGGATGTCGGCGTTGAGTTCCGCATACGTCCACCGGCGGTTGGTTGCGAGGTCGATGCAGGCCAGACCGTTCGGCCGTAAGCGTGCATGCAGTTGCACTGGGTCCGGAGCGTGGAATTCCATCAGTGCGCTGACGTCTCTGTATCAAAAGCTTGAAAGTCTAGAAAAGGTTGAATAATTAGAATGGGGTATGTTGTACGGCGTTGGGCTCTTATTGACGAACCGTAGTTTCGGTGTAGATATCTTCAGCGAGGATTGCAATGTGACTTCTGAGAGGGAGTCGCCGCGAATGAACGTCACTTCGTCAACAACCCCTGCCGTATATGATGGCGTGTTGATGATTGGAGCGTCAGATACAACAGCCGGTTTTCCGCAAGGTGAAGTCAGTATGGGGGGGCGTTTTGACACAGAAGAAAACGTGTCGGATTGTGAAGACTTCGCCGAGAGTCCTCCTTGTTGATTATATTAACAATTTGCCTTTTACCAATAGTTAGTTGAGACAACGAACGCCCGGTGATGTTCGGAGTTGTTTCCAGGTTTTTGTTCTTCAACTCCGGTCACTGTATCTGCCAACGTGCAGGAACCTATCTGCTCCATATCTTGCAACCCATTCGGTATGCGGACACGGGGAGTCGGATCCTCCCTCGCCAGCATGCAGGTCGCAAATGGTGTGGGTGGGGGACAACCACCAAGACACTGTGCCGTACAACTCTTGATCCTTCGCATCCTACCGATGTTGTGCTGCAGCTCGACAAACCACGCATTCCTCCCATTTTGGAAAAAATGTCATAGGGGTTCATCCCGCAAGAAGATGGTGTGTTGACGTATTCTTTTCGACACTTACCACCAACAAGTCTGCACAGTGCATATTTGTGGACTCAGCAGCCAACGAAGGGGCAGATTTCACCTCAGCTTTGGTGAGAACTTTGAAGGATATCCACCACACTGAAGTCCCGTCTGACCTAAGATATGGAACGCCGTCGGGTTATAAGCTTAATGCGGTTGGATCGTTGGGTCAACTTCGTGTTCCTGCTGTGCCGTACCTCTCCCGACCGAATCAGCTTCATGAATATCACAGGCCACATGAACAGATGTGCGGACCTCGGAAGTTTCCTTTACGTACCGATTCGCGATGATGACTGTAGGTGTAGGGAGCCCCGGACAAGAACCAATGTAATCAAGTTTTCCTGAATTAGCCGCCAACTCTTTGCATGCCTAGATTGACGCTATTGGAATGTCAAAGGCTGATTCACTCTTGGACTCATAGCCTCGAAGTAAGCCATGTCTCTTATTTCGGTAACAATCTAGCAGATTTTGTCACGACTGAACCACAGAGTTGCCAGAAAAGCCCGCATATAATCAAGCATTGTGCCTGTTGTCGCTTTTATGGGTAGGACGCAGTGAGTATGGAAAGGGGACTGTACTATCAATCTCTACACATCGACTTGACACCATGACCAATAGCACCAAACCCCCAATGAATGGTTTTTGCAATGAGACCCATCAAGAGCCCTGTCTGTATGAGCCCATCGCAATCATAGGCATGGGCATGAGACTCCCAGGACGCGTCCATAACGCTACCGACTACTGGGACCTCCTCGTCAACGGCAGAAGCGGACGCTGTCGAGTTCCAAAGAGTCGTTACAACATCGACACCTGGTATGGCAGTGGAAAAGCTGCCCACGTTCCCAGCGAGTTTGGCTATTTTCTCGATGACATCAACCTGGCCCATGTAGACCCAAGCTTCTGGTCTTTCACAAAGCAGGAGGCCGAACTCATGGACCCCCGGCAACGTCTATTCCTCGAAGTTGCTTATGAAGCCCTTGAGAATTCAGGTTCCACGAGATGGAGAGGCTACGATGTTGGGGTCTACGTTGGAACCATGGGAGAAGACTGGAGTCAGCTGGAGTCTCGCGACAGTCAAAGCCTCCAACAGGTTCGACCTGATGTGTATGGAGACTATATCATTGCCAATCGGGCGTCGTATGAGTTTGATCTTACAGGACCGAGGTAAGTCTCTTACCATGGTTTATCTCTTATGATTTCTCACAACATCTCCAGCGTCGTTGTTCGAACTGCATGTTCCGCATCTCTTGTTGCACTGCATCAGGCATGCCAAGACCTCCACAGCGGAGACTGTTCATCTGCCATAGTTGGGGGTGTCAACCTCATCCTCAGCCCTAAGGACACCATTATAATGCAGCAAAACGGAGTGCTGTCTCCGTCAGCAGCATGCAAAAGCTTCGACGCCGAAGCCGATGGATTTGCACGCGGTGAAGGCGTCTCTGCCATTTACATCAAGAAGGTGTCGGATGCAGTACGCGATGGCGATCCTATCAGGGCAGTTATTCGGTCAACCTGCACTGCGGGAAATGGCAGAACCCTAGGACTGACGACGCCGAACCCTGAAATACACGAAAGGCTCATGAGAAGGGGACACAAGATGGCTGGGATCACCGACTTGTCCAAGACCGCGATGGTAGAGTGTCACGGAACTGGTACTTTTGTAAGTTTATTGCAGGAACTTTTGAAGACATGTCAACTTGGCTAAGTATATGTTTTCATGCTTAGGTTGGGGATCCCCTGGAAGTCAGTGCAGTGGCCAACGTCTGGGGTGATCACGGTATCTATATCGGCTCAGTAAGCAATTGAAAGCCATGGAAAATCTTTCGAGATCGGTTACTTACAAGATCTATTAGGTCAAGCCAAACATCGGTCACGGCGAAGGGGCTTCTGGGCTCTCCAGCGTGATCAAGATGGTTCTGGCATTGGAGAACTCCACCATACCACCAAACATCAACTTCAAGACTCCTAATCCTCAAAGTAAGTGACATCAAAATGCAACACCACTGAAAGCAGTTACTGATCAAAACTTTGACTCAAGTTCCATGGAAGAGTGCCAAACTCAGAGTTCCCACAGAGCCTATACCCTGGCCAACTGGTAAAGATCAGCGGGTCTCAATCAACAGCTTTGGTATCGGTGGTTCGAATGCTCATGTGAGTATCCAATTTGATGGATGTAGAATTTCTATCAAGAATTTGGAGCTGACAACTTGGTTTCCGTAGGTGTTGCTGGAATCTGCCTCATGCTTTGGCATATCAACTTCCAGTCTAACGAACGGCCTGAGCGCAGGAACTAACGTTCCAAAACACCAACTCTTGCCACTTTCCGCCACACATCCTGAGTCAATCAGTGCTATGGGCCACAAGATTCAGAGTTATTTGAGTCACAACCCTGCAAGCTTGGGCGACGTCGCACACTCGTTAGCATCTCACCGAGAGACACACCCATATCGAGCTTTCTGTGTGACCGACGGTAGCAATCCCTTTCAGGTTTCATCAGTTGTTAAAGCAACACCGGCCTCGCCAGATGTAGTCTGGGTATTTACGGGTCAAGGAGCCCAATGGGCTCAAATGGGCAAAGAACTTCTAGAGCAAGAGGGGTTGTTCAAAGACAGGATCGATGCCATGGGTGGAGTTCTTGCAGGTCTTCCAGATCCTCCACCATGGACACTACGAGGTTGGTACTGTCTACAAAACTTGCTGAAACCCAACTGATAACCTGAAACTCTCAGAATTACTATCTGCCCCGAAAGGAGAGAGCCGCCTCCATGAAGCAGAGTTTTCGCAGCCATGCTTAGTTGCGATCCAAGTCGCGCTCGTCGACTTACTTCGCTCATGGGACGTTACGCCAGCTGCAGTAGTGGGCCATTCTTCCGGCGAGACCGCTGCTGCCTATGCGGCTGGTGCAATTACAGCTGAAGAGGCTATTTTGATCGCCTATCACCGCGGTCAGATCACTCGTCTCATCAAAGCTGCACACAACGGCAGCATGGCAGCAGTTGGTCTCGGCAGGAAACAGATTGAGCGGTTTCTTCGCCCAGGTGTCATCATCGGCTGTGATAACTCTCCGTCCAATGTCACGCTGTCAGGCGAGAGCGATGTTCTTGAGGAGATTCTGCTGGAGCTCAGCTCTAAGCACCCGGATGTTCTCGCCCGGAAGCTCCGCGTTGAGTGCGGATACCACTCTCGTGAGTTCATGTCATACCGCTCCCGGTTTCGTATCGTGATCGCCGGACTGATATCTGCCACAGATCATATGAAGACCGCCGCCGCAGGTTTTACATCCCGTCTGGAGGGACTGCTTCAGAACAAGAAGCCGCGAATCCCGTTCTATTCGTCTGTGACAGGAGAGAAGAACACAGACATGTCTCATACATACTGGGTTCTCAACGTCATCTCGCCTGTTCTGTTCAATACAGCGGTACAGGGAGTCCTAGACGATTTCAAATCTCCAATTTTCGTCGAGATTGGCCCTCACTCCGCCCTTGCCGGGCCTATCCGTCAAATCCTGAACTTCAATGACATGCCTGCCCAATACATACCGACGCTGGTGCGCAATCAGGATGCCGTTTCAGCCGTTCTGAAGACCGGAGGGGAGCTCTGGTTGGCTAGCATCAATATCAATATGACTGCCGTCAACCCACCTGGACAGCTTCTAACAGATCTTCCGACATATCCATGGCACTACGATGAGGAGTTTTGGCAAGAAAGTAGACTTTCTCGCAGTTGGCGCTTCAGAACTTTCGACCATCACGAACTTCTCGGCTCTCGCGTCGAAGAGATTTCGGACGCCTGCCCCGCTTGGAGGTGTATTCTACGGCTTGAGGATGTTCCATGGCTGCAGGAACACGTCATCCGGGACAACATCACACTTCCTGCCTCTGGTTTCATTTCCATGATAGGAGAGGCTCTGAGGCAGCTTCACGGGTCCGTGGACTTTACACTGGAAGCTGTGTCCATGGAGGCAGCTTTGGTTCTCGATGAAAAGCCAGTCGAGGTTGTGACGATACTGAATCCGTCAAAGTCAAAGACTTCGAGCAACAAGAGCGTTTACGATTTCTCAATATCCTCACTTGTAGATGGGAGTGAAGTATGGGTCAGCCATGTCTTTGGCCAGTGCAAACCCGGCTCAGATCGGAGGCATGCTGTCCCTGACATGCCTATCCTACCACGTCAAGCTTCAGGAAATTCATTCTACAACACTTGGAAAAGACATGGTCTGAACTACGGTTCCAACTTCAGGGGCTTGTCCAACGTCATTTCACATGTTAGGGAAGCCAAGGCTTTTGCAACACTGGATGGCAAGCTCGCAGGCTACACCAATTCGCCCTATTCGATTCATCCAGTTACTCTCGACACAAGCATGCATGTGGCAATGATATCCGAGGCCCATGGTCTGGAGCGAAACTTCCAAGGTCTAGTTGTTCCCACTTACATCCAAGAGGTGTATGTTGCTCGACCAACCGGACAGATCAATGTTGTCGCTAGTGCCGATAACGAGGCTGAAGTAATTGCCAAGAGCAATATTGTTGGAATTTCCGATGGACAAGTCGTGATCAAGATCTCTGGCTTAGAGGTCACTCAACTCTGTGGAGTTACCAGTGACCAAGAAGCAGATGATCCTCACGCTGGTGTCGTTTTGAAGTGGATGCCAGACATTAACTTCACGAAGCTGACTCAACTATTCCGCCGTCGGGAAATGGATGCCAGTTTCAACGTTTTGAATGAACTGGTTTTGGCCTGCATCGTTGATCTGAGAACTCAGCTTCAGTTTCTTCCTGCCACCCAACCTCACTTTGTGAACTACAAGAGTTGGCTTGATGCGTCATATCGCAAGGCTATGACTGGGCGGTACGCAGATGTCCTCAACGCTTTCGACATCGCAACGATGAATCACAAGGCAAGGCTCGAGGCTATCGGTAAAATGGCAGAGTCTTGCAAGCGGACTCCTGCGTTGGACGCCTCTGTGTCGATCTTCCGCGTGCATACCTTTGGCGCAGACTGCTTCTCCGGATTGCCCCATGCGATGAAGCCACTCGCACAGCCCAGCCATTTCGATGGAGTTGCCAACCTCATAGCTGACGTAGACTTCACCGACTTTGTTCGACTTCTAGGGCACAAGAACCCAGGGTTGAGAGTTTTACACATAGGCGCGAGAGAGAGCGATGACTTGCTATCAAAGTTATTGTGTTCCAATGACATCAACGTTCCATATGGTAGCTACGTTTATACCGGCGCTTTCTCAAAACCGCCGAATTCTTTGAGAAACCGTTTCGAGTCAGCACCGGCTGTTACCTACAAGCAGTTCGTGATGGACGTAGATCTATCATCGCAGGGCTTCTCGGAAGAATCATTCGATCTCATCATCTCCGAACCTACGCTATTCTCTTTCTCGAACGCCTCCATAATCAACATGCGAAGACTGCTTAGTCCGCGAGGTCATCTGATTCTTCAACATGCGAACCCCGAATCCAACCTTCTTCGATTCGCATACGGGCTATCTACTAACTTCGATTTCGGCTACGGCTCCCTGGGCAGTCCTGACATATTGCTGAACCAACTAAGTCACGCTGGCTTCGACAATGCCTCAACCTTTACCTTCGCAGGAGAGCATGGTAGGGTCACTGTCGCCACACCATTTGCTGACTTCCCAAAAATGAGCAAGGCCAGCATCATCTGTCAAGACCCAAGTCATCATCTGGTTGTTGCAGCAACCAGCAACTTAGAATCCCGCGGTATTTGCCCACAGTTCTTTTCCCTTGGGCAGGAGCTGCCCCATGGTCAGGCCGTCGTGTGTTTGTTAGATCTGGAAGGCCCCTTCCTTCATGACATGGATAGCATCCAGTGGGAAAACCTTAAGAAGTCTTTGTCTTCTGCGCAGGATGAGAGATTCCTTTGGATCACTGCAGCCTCTCAAATTCAATGCAAAGACCCAAGGTACTCTTTGACACTGGGTGTGACCCGCAGCATCCGGAGAGAATTGTCGATTGACCTAGTCACCCTTGAACTGGAATCTTACGACGGTAGCGGATGGAATGCCATGACCACTGTCTTCGAGTCTCTTGGCGACCGAAGCAGCATTGACGGCACTAAGGCGGATTCTGAATATGTCAGCTCCGGGGGGTTGATTCAAATATGTCGGTTCCATTCTGTCAAGGTTTCCGACGACCTACGCCAGCGATGCGAGGGTGCACCCAAGGTCTTGAGGATGAAGAAGCCCGGAATTTTGCAATCTTCAACATGGGAAGAGTCAGAAGCCACGACGCTGAGCGATGATCGTGTGGAAGTCTCAGTGAAAGCTGTCAGTCTGAACGCAGAGGTACGTCAACTGAAAGATCCAGAAATGACTTGAAAGGCTCGGAACACTGACCATCATTTTAAGGACTCAAAATTCTCATCGGGTCACTTAAAAGACAGCAGCAGCGCTTGCGCCAAAATTGGCCTTGAAGGTAGTGGTGTTGTGACAGCTGTCGGGCCAAAGGCCTGTCGATTCCGAGTGGGTGATCGTGTTGCGTTTAACCTCTGTAGCTCCTTGGCCACCACAATCATCGTCCCGGAGTCTCTTTGTGCAGATATTCCACACGAAATGACATTTGAAGAGGCTGCTTCGTATCCTTACTCTTATAGCACGGTGCTTTATGGACTTATGGAGCTTGGCAGGTTGAGGAAGAACCAGGTACGCTCTTCTTGTCGAGATAAGCACATCGTTACTTGGGCATCTGCTGACTCTCTAGACTCTTCTGAATCATTCAACGCCAGGTGCTCTTGGTTTAGCTGCTATCCAAGTCGCAAAAATGGTCGGTGCAGAGGTAAGCTCCATTCGTCCATCCTCGCGCGGACCTATTTGGGATGAAAGCCTGACTCAACTCTGCCCCAGATGTTCTGCACGACGGAGAATGCGACACAAGCCCGATATCTGCAGAAGTTGTACGGTATTCCGAGCAACCGTATCTTAAGCTCCGATATCACCTCATTGGTGCCTGAGATCCTACACGAGACAAATAGCCGGGGTGTGGACATCGTCTTCAGCACGCGTCCTGAATCTATGCAGGAGAGCTGGGCATGTCTCAAGCCGTTTGGAACGATGGTACAAGTACGACATGGTGGAGATCAAATGGCGGATGCTTTGAAGAGTTGCCGCAACCGAACTTTGGTGAACATTGACCTCGAGGAAATGAGAGTTCACCAGCCCGAGGAGAGTACTCGGTAGGTCCTTGTTCCAAGACCATAATCTTGAGATCTTCCACATCCAAAGTTTGACTCACTAACATGAGACCTTGCAGTCTTCTGGAGCAGGCATTCTTGTTTCACAAGTTTGGACTCAATAAGCCCTCGCAGCCCATCACAGTCTTTCCAGCTTCTGACATACTGTCAGCTTTCAAGTACTTGCAAAGTGAATGGCGTATCGGCCAAGTTATTATCAAGATGCCCGAGAGCAACATAGAGCTCCAAGCTCTTCCCTTACGACAAAGGTTATCTCTCCGTTCGGATAGAACCTATGTCATCGTCGGCGGTCTTGGAGGATTGGGTCAAGCCACCGGAAGATTCCTCATCGAAAAGGGGGCTCGTCATTTGATATTCTTTTCCAGATCTGCCAAAGATGTCGCCCACTCAGCATATTTCAAGGAGCTTGAATTTCTAGGCTGCACGGTTCAAGCCGTTTCTGGTAGTGTCAACGAGATGACGGATGTGGTGAGGATGGTTGACTCAGCAACTACTCCAATTGCTGGGGTGTTGCACGCTGCAATGGTACTTCAGGTATGTCCCATTTCTGGCATTTTCTGATTTCTGGATAAATACTTACTATGCCCCAGGATGTTCACTTCGCCGACATGACTTTTGAGCAATGGCAGACTGCCGTCTCACCAAAAGTACAAGGAACTTGGAATCTCCACTACGCTCTCCAAGCACAGAGAGATCCTCTTGACTTCTTCTTTCTCTTCAGCTCCCTCTCGGGTTTGGGAGGACAGATTGGACAGGCCAATTATGCTGCTGGGAACGCATTCCTCGATGCATTTGTTCAGTACCGGCATTCTCAGGGTCTAGCATGTTCCGTACTTGATATTGGCATCATGGAAGACATCGGTGTTCTTGCCAGGGAGACCAATCGCCTCGAAGCTCTTCGCTTAACTTCTCAGCATTGCCTTCATGAACAGGACCTCCTTGATGCCATGGAGTTGATGATTGAGAGATCTCAAGCGAAGAAGAGGACTCATACGCACCCCTTACTGCATTCGATGGAAGGCTACTCAAATCCGAGTCAGCTTGCCATCGGAATGCGGTCTTCGTCTTCCATAAACAGAACCGGTTGGCAGCAAGATCCACGGGCCGGATTCCTAGCAAAGACTGTGTCTGTAGACGGTCCTATCGATCAGCACACATCAGAAAGTACTCTGAAAAATTATCTTCAGAGATGTGTGTTAGATCCCTCACGGCTGGAATCAGACGAGGCGAAACACTTCCTGGCTGGGGAGATTGGTGCAGCATTGCGGGGCTTCATGATGCGACAAGATGAGGACGTCGACCTGACAATTCCGCTGCAAACGGATTCCTTGGTCACAGTTGAGCTTCGAAACTGGCTGAGACAAAAAGTTGGTGTAGTCCTCAATGTTCTCGAGATGAAGAGTGCAGCGAGTGTGATCGCGCTGGGTGGTTTGGTGGCGATGAGACTTTCGGCCGTGTACAGAAATCGTATGCAAGATGTGGGCATCAGTTGAATAACGAAATTTATTCAAGGTTGAGGTTGGGCTGCTTCAGGAGGGTCTCCTATCTCAGGCACAGAAAAGAAAAGTTACTCCGAAGTTTTTGTTCGATTGCAAGACACTCTCGTTCTAAGATGAGAGTCTCTGCCAGTTACTTCAAATGATTACTATATTCCGTCTAGTCACTGCAAGGTGAGGCGGTCATGATTATCAAAGTAGTTGATGTTGAGATTTGGGGGGCATGGGGTCGGGAGCCGTGCCTAGACATCGACGCTTCACTACAACGAGAATCGACACTCGCTGTGGGTAATGGCGTAAATTTGTACGAGAATTGTTGCACAGATTCCTATTCACAAGTGATTATGATCGTGTACACCGCCCCCGGAGAGACCGGGACGGCGGGTCGGCCCTTTAGGAAATAATAAAATAAACTTCCACACTTGATAGAAGATGCCTGAGAATCCATTGCTCGTCACAAAGTTTGACCGGCTGATGTTTACAATTGAGCTCTGGGTATTAATCTCGCATCTCCATAATAGACTTTGTGATATGAGTCTATGAGTGATGTGGCGAATCATACGGTATACTACCTTACTTGATCATTGACCAATACGACGCTCAGCCCTTCGTAGGCCCCAGCCGCTCACTTGAAAGCAGATGCTAATATGAGGCCGACTGATTATATAAAGTACATAGACTAGTCGCACTGATCAGTGACACCAGTCTGCTTCGATCTTGAGAGAAGTGAACATTGACATAATCAAATGACTCGTCACTTTTTATTCTTTGCGGTCCTTTGTTGGATCGCTACCCATTCGGCCATGGCGGCTAGGGTAGCGGTTGTCTTAACGGATTCGAAAATGGACGACAAGGCCGGCATTGCTGTCGCACTTATGAAAACCGATATCAAGAACCCTGTTAAACCTCAATACGACCGCGTTATCTTAGTCTTTACAGGCGCTGAAGAACGCAGCAAGATGGCCCTTGCGATGTCCGATTATCTTAACCGCGCTGAGAAGCATCAGCCTGCCTTACCAGCTGGGTGGGAAACACGAACTGCATGGTTTCAGACAAAGACCAACGTTCTGGGCCAGGCAGCGCCCCACGAAAGCTGGTACAAGAACCTTCGACCTACCAAAGAGCTCCCCGTGGCAACTGGAGAGTCTTTAGCAGCAGAAGTCGCCAGGGTTGGCAGAGGTTCTTTCGTGGACGTCTTCCAGGTCGCGCCCTGCGAAGATAATGATGTCTGGGATTTCATCAATGCATTACCCAATATCAATGTCTACCATATCTTCTTTGGTTATAATTCCCGACAAGGTATCGCCACCGACGATATGACCCGAGCGAGTAGACTAGCTCTATCACAGAGGCAAGTTCAGTTTCACAAGACCCTACAGGCCCGCCTCAGCGACAAACATCCCAGCGCTCGGGTGATTTTTACCCAGAACGTCCCATCCTTCGCCAACGCCGGAGCCGGCTCTCAGGATCTGTCTTGGTGTAGGAAGTATTTCCCTGAGGAAGACATCTTAATGGCGCTGCGGGATCCTTTCTGGACCGGCCTCATCATCCTAGCCAACAAGTACGCAGAAAAAGCGACGAAACTCCAGCAGATACCCGTTTCACCTGAGGAATTCATGACTCAAGTCGTCTCTGCTCGATTGAAGGAGACGACTCTGCGAGTACAAATTCTGAAGATGCTGGAGAGTGCTGTTTCAAATCAACAGTTTGCACAGGACTCGCCAAGATGTAAGTTATTATTAGTCGTCTTTCGAAAGGACTAGATCACTAACACTCTTCTGTTAGCTTATTCTCGTGTTCGCGACATCTTAGTCGAGGAGTTCACCGGAAAGCCAGCACCAACTTTGGAACTGGGAGACGCAAATCACATGGCGATCGTCTTGCAGTATCTTGACAACGAGACCAAGGACCACAATAGTTACGCGATGAGACTTCTGCCGGCCTTGTGTGACACTAGTGAGGAAAACCCCACTCAACCTCCCCGGGTCTCAGCAGGAGCGCCGGCTGCTCAAAGTCCAGATGGATGGGTTCTTGCAGGGTGTGATATCCAAGACACGAGAGGATATATAGAGGGGCTATTCCAAGAGAATGCACTGCCGTGAATGACTTTATGGCGAGGACATAATACTAAGGTAGCTTGGAATATTATTCCCACGACAAAGCCAAAATCAGGAATTATAAAGCCGCCAATGCGCAAGTGTGTAACATACATATATATATTCTAGGACTTTCTCTGAGACTCTACATCTTGTCATGGAGCGCGAACTTACTCTTCCCCCTTAAAGCATTGCCGTACTTGAAGAACAGCCATGGGAAGGGCATCATAGCAACTGTAAGGAATGCAAGAAGACTTGTTGCCCACTGGTGACCGAGTCTGTCATACATCTGCACGCCAAATAATGGAAACGCAGCTGAAATCGCACAGAGTTAGACAACTGAAAGGCTCGTGGCTTATTGAGAAAACAAGACTTACCAGAGAACAGGCACCTAGTCAGTCCATTAGACGCCAGTGCCGATGCAGAATACTTTGCATACGCATCAATCTGAAAGTGTGGTCAGCAAAAGAAACTCTTGAGATAGAGGGACACATCTTCAACGTACGAGGAAGGTATAAATGCCAGTAAAGGCTAGAACCGTTCTGTAGCATTGGACCGGTTAGCTTTCATCTGACAAAGAACTTCCTTGTCTCCGATGAGATGATAAGTGTGAAGGAACGAGAGAATTCAGGCCTCTCCAATCAATTTTTGCATGTTCATTGGAGTCAATAGACTTACCCGCAGCCGAAGACGCCGGAGCCGATGATTGGTACTATCCAATGGATATTGGGACTTATCGTCCAGCCGAACCAGAATAACCCGATCGGTATCAGGAACCCGCCCAACATAGCCGGCGGTAATCGGAACTCCGGCTCACTAGTCCCGTGCTTCTCCACAAGTCGCGTGCGGATGTTGGACCAGACTGGTGATGATGCTGCAGCCAAGCACATGCCTACAATAATGCCAAGGAATGTAAGACCACCTTGCCATAGGTTCATCCCATACTCCGTTCGGAAGAGGCGCGGGAACGCCAGAAAGAACAAGTACAGTATAGCCAGTAAGATTGCCGAGTATACGTTAAGGCAGAGGCACATAGGCTCCAAGAAGTTGAACTGTAAGGGTCGTAGCATGGAGGCTGCTATGATGGAAGCCTTCGACGGCTGAACATCTCCGCTCTTCTTCTCCATCGGCGCTCTATACCGGTCATCGCCAGTTTGCTGGCGGAGGTGCTTGGCCTTCATGTATAACCTGATTGGATGAAAGGTCTCGGGCGTGAAAAATACAATAATGGCCATCAAAATCGAAGACCAGATGATCATGATATAATAGGTCCATCGCCAATTGATGTTGTAGTTGATGAATCCGCCGACTATTGGGCCCACGCAAGGCCCCATGAACGGCACTAGCGACACAAGAGACATGGGGTGTTGGATTTGGTGTGGTAGGAAGATGTCGCCCACGGTCCCTCCTGACACTGAGAGGAAGGTACCGCCAAAGGCACCACTGAAGAATCGAGTAACCAGTATGGTTTGAATGTTCTTTGCAACTGCTGATGGAATTGTCGAAAGTATGAAAAGAGACCATGTCCCGAGGTAGATGGGACGTCGTCCGTAATACTCACTCAAAGGACTGATCATTGGTGGCCCGAAGGCAATACCCAAGAGGAACGTTGACAGTCCGAGAGTGGAGACAAGAGATGATGTGCCAAATTCGGCATTCATCTGGGTGTATGTGGATGTGTATGCTGAGCTAGTGCAGGTACTGGATGATCCGATGGTCAGTATCAGCTACATTTGGAATAGACTAGAGGCTGCCTTCGGGGGGTTCTACTTACACGCAAATCGTTACATTGCACAGTATTGTAACGATGGTCCACTTCCGAAACAGTGGCATGCTGTGTGGGCAAAAAGGGTCGTCGATCCCATTAAAAGATACCTCGAAGGAATCCCGGTCGGTGGGTGGCCATGCCGAAGGCACGGAATACTTCTCGGCGTCATCGCCCGACTGGGAGTCGTAATTATCGCTGTCCATCTGAGCGAGACCTGAGAATTTCGTGGTTGTCAATACTGGGAAGAGAGTTCAGACGCAAGATATTCAAGCCGCTGATGTTCTGAACTGAACATAGTATGAATCGCTAGATAGGGCAGGCCCGACGGTCATTGCTTCGGTTGGACACGGAGCCTGCTTCCTTTTGAGGACGAGCAACCACGAGAACAAATTTACAGCGTTTTACCCTAATGACTCTTGAGCAAATCACAACGAATAATGTTGAAGAACGCGAAGCAGCTAGGTCTTTTATCGAGATATTGACGGCTTTCGGCATTTGGAGCAAAAGTGCGGAGAGCCAATGGGATTATACGGATTTGTCCCATCTCCCAAGACACCTCGGTGTCTTAGGCGATCGGCACAAGACGCCGGACCGAGGCCGGGCTCTTAGCATAGAAATAGTGCCTTTTTCTCACATTCATCACACTAGGCCTCAGAGTCTCATGCAATCCACCGACCTATACGGAATGCAAGGTAATATTCCTGTATCTGATTCATGTTGTCGGTATCAATATGCACGGCTCCTCGGGTGCAAAGCCGATCAGCAGACATTTACTTGAAGGCCCGAATACTACAGCTCTTCCGAAAGCGATGGCTTGTCCAGAAGACCTTCATCCAACATCGCACTTCAAACTCACTCAGCACCCATCCTCAGTCATAAATATTTCTAATTGAGACTCACGGGTCGTAATGGACCAAAGTATCCTGCGCTCCCTCAGAAGCAATGTCGTAGAAGTCCTTGCAGTCTGAGAAGGAAATCTTGGGCTGTCCGGCGTAAAACTCATCAAACTTGGTATCAAGTGCATCCCGGAGGTTCTCGACGCCACCTTCAGGGTGGATGTGCTTCCATGGAAGCCTGCAAGTCTCGGCCTTGCAACTCTTGAGGACCAATAAAAGGGCATCAAGACGGTCTTGGACGACGGACAAGGGACGATCGAGAAGCTGACCTGAAGCGCTTCCGGCAAGGTTGTTCATCTGACCTGGGTCCTTCTATAACAGGAGTGAGTAACTGGTCATGATTTATGGACATCCACTCCTAGAAATCAGACTTACCTTCATGTCGTAAAATTCGCGTTCGTTGCTGCACCAAACTGAGTAGAACAGGCTATAACTGTCGCCGAGAACACGCATAGCCTTGTAAGTGTTGTTCGCAGATGCTAATAGGACGTTAGTGCCAAGTTGCTTGCAACGATGCAATATGAATCAAATGAACTGACCTCCGCCAAACGCGTCATATCCGCGTTGAGTACCCCAAAACTCAACATTGACGTGATCATGCTTAGGGTCATTCTGGGCCTTTTGGATCCCATTCTCAGAGAAGGGAATAGGAGAACCATCAAAGTCGTCACGTAGGGTGATGTTAGCCAACGAGAAGATCGTAGGAGCAATGTCGGTGTGGGTTGTGACAAAGTCCACAGTCTTGCCCTTTGGCACGCCGGGGCCGCGGATCAAGAAGGGCACGTTGATGTCTTCCTCAATCGCGCAAGTCTTTCCTGGCTTAAGACGATGCTGTCCAATGTGGAAGCCATTGTCAGACGTGAAGATGACGTAGGTATTGTCGAGGACACCGGCTTGATCGAGACGCTTGACGATGGCGTCAACCATTTCATCAACGGACTGCAGTGTTTGGAGACGGCGGCGGTAGTAGTTATCACCGTATGTTATCTCGGTGGCGTTCAGCTGGGGGATGATGAGACCCCAGTTGGCCATGCTCGGCTATAAAAGTAGCGTAAGCGACCAACGACCTGGATCAGGAAGTCGATAGTCTTACCTTGTCAGGGTTAAAGTTGTAAGTGCGAGGAACAGTCACGTTTGAGAAGGGGTTTTTGTGCCTCTTCGCGGGGATGGGTGGTGTCGCACCAGCACTGGTCTCGCCGCCAAGTCCGTTGTTGTGAGGACCAATTGGTGCAACACCCAAGAAGAAAGGCTTGCTGCCGTTGAACTTGAGAGCATCATCCAAGAAGCCGAGAGCTCTTTCGGCAACCAAGTCGTTACTGTACTCGCCCGGGAAAGTCTGAGGTGGGCTCTGGTTTCTCTGGAACGTTGCATTCAAGTAGAGATAGGTGTTGGGATCTAGAAGGACTAGGCTAGAGTTAGCAATGAAGCCCCGAATTCTAGGTGTTGTCAATGACTTACAGTCACTCCCAGTCCAGCCCTTGGGGAAGGGATTGTTCCAATTTTGGGTAGAGTGAGAGTTGAAGAGCTTGCCGGTGTAATACGTGTTGTAGCCAGCGTCCTGAAGCCAGACAGGAAGATACTTGTCGTTGTAACCTTGGGAGACAAATTTCGGGTAGCCACCTATGAGGATATTCAGACTATTGTCACTCTATTGGCAGTAGATGCTTACGACTTACCGTGAGGGGGAGTAACATATGTGACATTGGTGTTGTGCGCCGCTTGCCCCGTCAACAAGCTGACACGAGATGGACAGCAAATTGCGATCGTGCAAAAGTGTTTGCGATAGTATGTTCCCTGCTGAACAAAATGCTTCTGAACATAAGGCATGTAATCAAGGGAACCGAGTTGCTCGTCCTGATCATCAGTCAAGATGAAGACAATGTTCGGCTGACGCTGCTGCACGCTCTGAGCGATGACAGCGGAGGCACCGAGGGCCAGTGTCGCCAACGTTGGCAGGCTAAGAATTGGCAACATGGTGAAATGTGAAGCCTGTGATCTTGCAACTTCACAGATATCTACTCCAAAACCAAGCAGGAACAGAAAAGCCGCCTTGAGATCGAGATATGTGCTTCCAGGCACTGCAAAGTAACTGTTATATGTCGCGCGTTAGTGTTATGAGTGACGCAGCACCTCCATTGCCGGCTCCCACATTTCAGTAGACTACAACGGCAGGAACCTTCCCCTAAAAGCTAGTAAGAGAATCAAGCCTGAGCGTGTTGCGGTGTTAGCCCACGGGGCCCCGGTAGCTCGGTGGTATCGCTGGTGGGTCGTCGGACGGCGCCCGCTCATCGGTCGACCAACCGGCTGGGCTCCAGGTCAGCGAAATGGGTATTTCGACAATGTCAACGGCATTCGCAATCGGGTCTTGCGATTTCGTCATTTCGTCCGCTAGCCTATCTGAACCACGATCACCACCTTATCATCATTAAGAAGACCATTTTTTCGGAGCTGGTTCCAGTTCGAGGTTCAGAGCAATATGTCGGGGCTCCGCTCTGAACCGAAGAGACAGCATGGAACGACATGGCAGACAGCTGTCTTAGTCAAGGCTCTTCACATAAGGTAGGTAGTGAGACGCCATCATCTGAGTGCAGTCAAGTAACATACACTACTTTTTATTACCAACAAAGTGGAACAGGGCGAAGATGAACTTGACGATGAACATGACCTCGATTGGTGCAAATGGGCTCAGCGATTGAGAGATTGCATCATTCACCCAGTAAACTAAGTCTATGAGCATTTTGCCAGAGCAACCGAGCAAGGCTCATTGGCTGTGAAACCGCCTATGAATAACCTTAAAGGCTTCCCGGCTCTTCGGGTCACATTTCAGAAGCGGGTGGTAAGCCTTTGCTAAGAGGGATTCATAAAGGTAGGATGCCTATCAGCAGTTTTGGCTCTTGTTCCTGTGTCTTGCTCTTCGGCGGCACAGGGCTTGAGTCGGGGTCCAAGCCAATCCAGCTGAAGCAATCGATCTCGCAAAGCTGTGATTGTTGCAAGCCCAAGAAGGGTTGCAGAACGTGTACTTATATCCTGTGAAGTGGTAAGTGAGTCACTACACTGATACCCCGATTGTTAGCATATGCTGGGACTTGGAAATTCCATTATCTTTTTACAAGCATGGCTACAAGAAGAAAAGTACATGCACACAGCTAGAATGATTCGTATTACTGCAATCTAGTCTCCTGCCCAGACCCCAGGGAATCGTTAGCAAAGCAAATGTGGGGTAATAAGGAAGATGTTGAAAGCTTCTTCACCAACCCCGAGTAGCATCGGAAGTTGGTGAGGGGAAGAAAACTTGATGCGCACTTGAAGCTTTGTCAAGCTTTTCCCCATAGAACATTGTAAAGGTTTAGATTCAATGAGAGCTTCTTGGCTTCTATGAAAGTCTTCCTAGGTAGCATTACGAACTTCTGAGGCATTTGCAAACCATCGCGATTGCCCAGGACGCATTCTGACTGCGCACGGGAAAGCGTTCATGAGACGAGATGCAGCTTCCGCCGTCAACCTGCCCAATCAGCGATTGGTCAGCAGATCTGGCCGGCTGGCGCAATGGTAGCGCATCAGACTTCTATCTCGTCCGTGACGTGTGGTTATCTGGGGGTTGTGGGTTCGAGCCCCACGTTGGTCATACTTTTGTTGTTCGGCGTTCTAAAAGCTGTTTTTGTGAAGCGGACATTCAACACAGGCGGAATTTTTGAGCCAAGCATGAAAATTGCTTTGTCATTCTGTAGAAGAACTCCTCAAAGTGTTGCCTGCATTTCTGAGAGTACCGAAAGTCAATTGGATCGAGGCGAAACTGAATTGGTGCTTGCCCATACGGATAGTACCCCTGCTTGCAACGCAACTAGGATGACTTGATAATTTGTCATGGGATGCTTAGAGGTACATAGCGATGCCTTTTCAGAAGCTTTCGAAAGCTGACAGCTTGCAAATTGTAATAAGAAAACAGTTCAAGTTGCGGAGCTCAAGTGTTGTCTTTTCTATTGCTTAAGGTAGGTACCCTGGTACGAGTTGCCATGTCAGGGACTGCTTTCCTTAGGTATCTACCTGTGTTCAATGTTATCGACGTCATGCCGATGTACCCTGGTGTGTCTTCTCTCAGCAACGTCCGCGTCCGGCGCTGGTGGTGCGGGTGGCCACTCACCGGGCTCTCACCGAACCGACCCACTTAAATCTCCATTGTCGCATAATCGTCAACCGTCCGCGTCAAGCTCCGGCTCAGCTTCCTTTCCCACGGCAAGCTCCAGAGCCCGAATCACAAAATGGTACGTCCTCATGCGCCTCCTCAAATATGCAACACGCGGCAATTGTCGCGCAGCTGTCTCGTGCAATGAACTGTAAGCGTGCTGGCTAACGCAGCTATCACAGTTACCCCTCGGTCTCTTGAACGCCGCCCAAGGGCACCCTATGCTCGTCGAGCTGAAGAACGGCGAAACACTCAATGGCCACCTGGTCATGTGCGATACCTGGATGAACCTCACATTGAAAGAGGTTGTTCAAACGAGTCCGGTACGCGCCGCCCGCGTCGATGCATCGCCCCCATACCCCGCGCCAGACCACTGACGAGTACATAGGAAGGCGACAAGTTCGTCAAGATACCCGAAGTCTACGTCAAAGGAAACAACGTACGGAAACTCAGATAGCGCAAGTCCCAATCACGAGCGACATGCTGACGAAGCCCTAGATCAAATACCTACGAGTACCCGACGACATCATTGACGTTGTGAAGGAGAACCAACAGAACCAGCAAGGAGGATTCCGCGGTGGCAGAGGTGGATCGAGAGGAGACCATGGCGGCCGCGGAGGTGACAGAGGTCGGGGCAGAGGCCAGGGCCGTGGAGGCAGAGGAAGAGGTAACCGTGGTGGTGGTGGCGGTGGTGGTGGGCAATGATGATATCCCGGACACGATCATGACGAGCCCAGTTGATACACGGCTCCCAGCGGCTACTTTGCACGACTTGCAAGAAGATCGACGGCCATCTGAAGGCTACAGACATCCACATTGGACGTCTCGCACGAAAAGGAATTCGATTGCGGATGCCATTCGGAATTACAACGCCATTGGATCAGCATTGCGTTATCGGCCTTTGGCCGCCCGCCTCGGGAGCACGCATATCAACATAATCATTTTACGTTCAAAAAGCAAGAAAATATTCTCATGACGCGATGCTTATCCATATGCCAGCCGTGATGCTTGTGCATGCTCGTCGTCTATCGCGAAGCGCAATCAATGTCGGGTGAGTCACGTGATCCACTTTTGCACCGGGATTAATTCGGTGAGAGAAGCTCCGAAAAGTGCAAGCTGCAGCTCTCCAGAATTTGTATCCCCCGTGCCCAGCCGCATTGCCAGCTCCATGTCGGGCACTCGAGTAATTTTCGACGGCTTATGGCGCTGTCTCTGCCCCTCTGTCGATACGCAAGCTGCGGCCAGGCTCCTCAATACACAGACTGTTCCCAGAACATCGCTTGCGACGCGCCAACGAAGTCACCTTGTCCCATCAACCCGCCATCCTGCGAATCGTACACGATGTCGAAGATACACAACCGCCACATCTTCGGCCGTGCAGGCAGAAGGACACTCGAAGCATCACGATAGCGAAGAGCTAGTTGAAGTTGACGCAGCTCGACAAACAGAAGAGTCGGAATCCGTGGACGACAATCTCCCCGCCGTGAACGAGCAGCTCCGAGCAGCCTCGCTGCCTGCAATCCTGGATGCCTTGGAGGTCCTCCGGGGCCAACCCAAAAGTTTTAAAAAGGTCGCAACAATCATCACATATCTAGTGCGGGCTAGAGGCGTTGAGCTCAGCCCAAAACTCTACGAAGACTTGATCGTGGCTACGGCCGATGTTCAAGGATCGGCGGCGTTCCTAGCACAGCTTTTTGCGGAGATGAAACGACTGCAGTTCACAACTTCGCCTTCAATATCCCATGCCGCGTTAGCTGTATGTTTCCTCAAGACGAACCGAATTGCCCCTTGCGCTGACGACGATAGGCTCTCGCGATACATCCTGATTACTTACTTCGAAACGAGATTCTTGCAGCCATGAAGCAGTCGTGGACTGAGGTCGATATCCCAGGACAGGCCCACGTTGCCCTTGGGCTACTCCGCGACGGTCAAATCGAGCTGGCTTTCGACGCAATAGAAAACCTGATTCACAAGCAAGTACCGATGGCTTCATGGGTCTTTGACATCTTCATTTTCACCCTCGCCCAGCGCGGTTTCATAGATGAGGCGATCAAGCTGGCACATGGCAAGGTTCACTCTTCTGATGGCGAGACAGATGTTGCGTTGTGGTATTCACTGCTCGACAATTGCTCCGAGGCGTACCACTACGAGGGCACGCGATACATATGGGGCAGGATGCTGGAGAAGGATAAGGAGCAACTTTCGGACGGGGTGCTTCTCAACATTATCAACACGGCTACCAGGCAGAACGACTATCAACTTGCCACAGGGGCTGCGCGGCTCGTCACGCAGAGGGGTGGAAAACTGGTTGCGCATCATTACGAGGCGCTGATCGAATGCTACGGCGGAGTCGGAGATATCGTGAGCGCATTGCGGGTCTTGTGCATCATGTTCAAGGCCATCTCAGTTGCGCCATACGCCAGCACCCGTCCAATCTACCAGAGAATCAAGAAAGAGCCAGAGAGCATCGACCCGGCTCTTAACACTCTTACTGAGCTTATCCGCAGCTACAAAGTCCCCATTGCCGCGCTCAATGTCATCATTGAAGCCGCTGTCGAAACACACGGCTTCGCGAAAGCGTTGGAGATCTACCAGAATGCGCACAAGTACACCGAGGCCAGCCCTAATCATGTCACCATTCGCTACGTTCTCCAAGCGTGCGAGGATACGGAAGCTCTCAAGGCTCTTGTTGCGCAAAACCCAGAGTTGGCCCTCAAAGGCGATCGCACTGTCTTTGCCAGGGTTGTGCATGAGTACGCCGTGGCTGGTGAGCTGGACCTCGCGTACAAGTGTGTGAGATTATTCGGCGAAGCTCCTGCGCCGGTTGAGGGGCAGCAACCCGAACTGGACAGTTTTTGGATAAACAGGAAGACGCTACTCACCCTCGTCAGGAAGTCCCTTGACGTGCAGGACGTGCGGGTTTGGTGGTTGATCGAGCAGGCCGAGAGACGGAATATGGACGTCCAGTCGGGCTTGTCGAAGGTGATGGCATCCGTTGCCGACGAGATCAAGAGAAGTTCTGGATTGGACCGAGAGGACACCGAGATGACATATCGCTTCCCATCATAAAATGGCGGGTTCTTGTATATGTTGTATTACCAAGAGCACTCGCATAAACACCTCTTGAGAGAAGGTGTGCCGCACCCGGATTTACCCGCGGCGGCTGTATACTACACTTTGGCACAAGCCAGTCAAAATTGCGTTGCAGAAGTTTGCAATCACCGACCAAGTCTTGAATACCATTTGTACTCATACGGAGTGACTCATTGTCAGCTTATAGCGTCGCAACCTTATCCCGACCACCGTGGAACACACCGAGAGGCACCGGAGGTTATCTATGTAGCCGATTCCATCAATTTGGATCCGGCCTACAACCCAGCATGCAAGCCCACCGGGCCAATGTTTGACAATTTCTCAACGCGCTAATTGCGAACACCAGCATCCCTTCGTTACAAGCCCTTTCCACTGTGTTAAAGAAGCACTCGCTGTTCCATTACATCATCATAATTTGGTTTCCATTGTCTCATCAGACGACGCAAGCCATTCAGCAGTGCCTTAGGAAACAAAGCTGGCACCCTGCCGAAGGCTTTGGTGCCGCCGACTGCAAGGCACTCTTCAACGGCTTGGCAAAAGCCATCGATTAATTAGTCAGGATGTGGCTCGGAGAGAAGACATGCCATCTCAAACACAAGGATCGTGCAGACCAAGTGGCTGAATCATCCGTGGGATGGCATTCAGTTCAAATTTCGATCCAGCTAGACTTAAGGTTCTTGACCAGGCAGCCAATCAGATGCTGCATGGACGGTGATCATTCAAGGGTTCCGGAGCTCGCTGATAAATCGACCAAAAGCCGGACGCGGATTAGTGATAATCTTGAGTATTGTCTGCTAGCTCGTCTTCTCCCATTCACCTCCACGGAACGGACTGGCACTAGCAGCGAGTACTTTCGCGATGTGTATGCAGAGGCTATCTCCTTGACTCTAGCTCCTAATTCCAAAGCCCGCCAACTCTGCGGCACGCCATCTCGTTGTCCCTCAACGTCATGTCAGCCCTAGCACCATGTCTCCCTATCACTCTGGTCGGCAGAATCGACGGGGACGCGCCAACTCCAAACGGACGAGAACGGACAAACCAATACCCTGTTGACACGGCACGCACGTTTAGATCTTACCATGCCCCAGGGAGAGACAGAGATTTACGACGCCTGCTTCCGCGGGGCCCCCCACCCCCTTCTTCTCTCTCAAACGAGATAGGTACCTAGCCATCTGCACCAGACGGCTGGTTCGCGCCTATCTCATTCCGGCGCATTCGAGAAACTTAAGCCCGGCTGTGATTCATAATGCCACACGTGCTAGAGTCGCGCCGCATCGTAGTTATCGCTCGTAAGCCCGATGCCGTGGACGGACCAAATTTTGGTCCTGATCGGTCATCAGGCTAGTAGTCATGTTGCTTCTTTGGCGTTTGAGTGTTGTCGACGCCAATGTCTGCTTGGCAAAGGTTGAGATGATGGCCAGTATATTAGAAGACATGATGTCGGTATCATCATCGTCTGTTTTCTTGTCAATCCACACACTTATGTTTCCAGGCTTATACCCTTAGCAACTGAAGACATCTCAACCGCTTCAGGCGCAAGTTAATCCCCAAGAAGTAATCTAATATCCCAACGCCATCAACGTTCTATACATCACATAATCTCAAGCCACATCATCATCATCATCAGCCGTTTCAATGGCGCAGTTAATTCGAGATGCCCCTGTGGGCCAAATCATCCGCTTCATCACACGGAACAAGTTCCTCCAATACCCGGAAGAGAAGACTGGCTTCCAACTCCCGCAACAATGGCTTGACGTCCTCAATTCTGAGAAGTCCAGCCCGGCAGATGCAACCCCAGCCGACGCCGGCGCATCACCCCGATCCTCCGAATCGACCCACGCCGCCGATGAAGAAAATATGCTTTCACAGAAAGAAGTCGAAGACGCCGCGCCGTACGGCACCTCGCTCCAGCGGACTCGGAGCCGGGAGGAGACGATCCCATACACTGCGGACCGGCTCGAGGTCGACGAGATCCACGAGATCCAAAAGACCAAGAGCATCCCCATCGCACCGAGAAAGACCAAAGATGGTGCCATCCTGGTGGATTGGTACTTTAGCGACGATGCTGAGAACCCGCAAAACTGGTCTAATGCGAAGCGCGGACTCATCGCTGCCATTATCTGTATCTACACCTTTGTCGTCTACATGTCTTCAGCGATTTACACGCCCTCCATAGAGGGCGTCATTCACGAGTTCGGCGTCGACATGACTGAGGTTTCCTTGGGTCTGGCGCTCTTTGTCTTGGGCTATGGTATCGGTCCTCTGCTCTTCTCGCCGCTCTCTGAGATCCCCCGCATTGGCCGTAACCCGATTTACATCGTCACCATGTTCCTCTTCGTGATCGTGTCGATTCCCGCCCCTTTGGCTAGCAACTTCCCCGGGTTGATGGTTCTCCGATTCCTGCAAGGTCTCTTCGGCTCGCCGTGTCTGGCATCAGGCGCTGCGTCTCTGGGAGACATGTACAGCCTTCTCAACCTTCCCTATGCCCTCATTGCTTGGGTAAGTAATTCTCAAATTTGACACCCATCATACGATACCATCATACTGACTCTTCCGATAGGTGTCTGCAGCATACTGCGGTCCAGCTCTTGGGCCCCTCTTGTCAGGCTTTTCCGTCCCCGCCATGGGCTGGCGCTGGTCTCTCTGGGAAATTCTTTGGGCCGCCGCCCCCGTTTTCCTTGTCATGTTCTTCTTCCTCCCCGAGACCTCGACGCCCAACATCCTCCTCCGCCGCGCTCAGCGTCTCCGCAAGCTGACGGGCAACGATCGCTTCATGTCTCAGTCGGAAATCGACCAGCGCAACCTAAAGACCTCGGCCGTCGTCATTGACGCCCTCATCAAGCCCCTCGAGATCACAATCAAGGACCCGGCCATCCTCTTCGTCCAGGTCTACACCGCCATCATCTACGGCATCTACTATTCCTTCTTCGAGGTGTTCCCCCTCGTGTACCCAGTCTACTACGGCATGTCCATTGGCGAAATCGGCCTCGTCTTCCTCTGCATCCTCGTCGCCTGCCTTCTCGGCATCGCCGTCTACGTCTCCTACCTTGCCTTTTACATGGTGCCCCGCATCAAGAAGTTCGGCTTCCCCATCCAGGAGAACCGTCTCGTACCCGCTCTCCCCGCCTCCTTCGGCCCCACCATCGGCCTCTTCATCTTCGCATGGACCGCATCCCCGGCCATCCACTGGATCGCACCCACCATTGGCATCACTATCTACGGCGCCACCGTCTTCGTCGTGATGCAGTGCATCTTTGTGTACGTTCCACTGTCCTACCCCCAGTACGCCGCCAGTCTCTTTGCCGGTAACGACTTCTTCCGCTCCGCCTTCGCCTTTGCTAGCATCTTGTTCGCCCGCCCCATGTACCAGAACTTGGGTGTCGCCCGCGGAACGAGTTTGTTGGGTGGACTTAGCACAATTGGTATCCTTGGAATCTGGCTGCTTTACTTCTACGGCGGTAGACTTAGGGCGCTGAGCAAGTTTGCGGTCTCGTCTGACTAAGGGGGTTCGGGACGAAATCTGGTCCTTTTGAGTGCAGCGTGGCTTTTGATGATGATGGCATAGCATGGCCTCGTTTCTTGTTTCCTTTTGCTTTCTATGGTCGCTAGAATCTCGAGAAATAGATCGATCAAGAATTAAGAGAGTAATTTCGCGAGCAAAAGTCCCACGCAAATGCCTTTGACGATGTGAATTGACTTTACAAATGGCGGATACTGGTCTTCCTATCGGATTGTACTAGTGACCACGCGATAAATCAACAGTCCTCGGATCACAAGGAATTCTTCAATCAACTTTGTGACTACAAGCCGGTACCGGATCTGAGCGACGCGATTCATGCCGAGTTTCTTCCGTCTCATCTATCTAGACCCATCAACCAGTCTGACTCCGCAACCTTACCATCGCGCAAGGGCACTAACCGAATTAGGGCATTATTTTGAGAAACTTGACAGTGCAGGGTTCCTGGCTATTGTGGCCAGCTCCGAAATGCTCTTCTCTGAGACGAGCTCAATTGCTATCGGCGTGTTCAATGCGATGTGGTGTTCCGCATACTTTAGGACTTGTTACCTGATAAGCCAGACTGAATACAGGCAATACCTAGAGAGATGACGACTGAGACGTAATATTTGATCCCGACACGAGCAGGGGAAGAGCAGGTGTTAGCAAGATGGACTAGAACGACGACGGATATAAAGTAGGGTGACCGCTTTCTAAGAGGAATGGGGTCGCAAGAAGCAGCGTCTGGTGCAAGCACGAATAAAGAATATTGAATTATGGCGAATCCCGAGGGAGCTACTTCCCGCCCATCCATTACCCGATGCGATGCAACGGATCCGTCAACCACAACAGAGAAGCTCGTCGAGATCATCAACCGTGATGGCGGCGTGATAGTGGAGAAGTTAATCGATCTCCATCTCGCCGCAGAGATCAAGCGAGACCTGAAGCCGTACTTTGACGAAGACATCCCAGACAAGTACGGCTTCTTCCCAGCAACGACGCAGAGAGCATCCGGTTTGCTGGGTATCTCAGACGCCTGTGTGGAGCTCGCGTGCAACCGCTTGTATACTGATGTCGCGAATGCTATGGTCTCTTCATCGTTCACCTTCTGGAGGGGCGACAAACAGAAGACTGTCAGCGGGAAGCCCATCATCTCATCGACAGTAGGATTCCGGGTGAATCCGGGAGGGAGGCAACAAGTGCTACACCGTGATGACAAGTGAGCGTCCGTCTTTATGTCGAAGCGGAGATTCTCTGACCTGAGGCTTGCAGTGATTATCATCCCCATGACAAGCAGATGCCCGTCCTGATCGGTTGCGTCACCGCCTTGACGAAAACAACGGCAGCGAACGGCGCGACTGTCGTGATTCCGGGTTCACACCTATGGGGTCCCGAACGTCGTCCGCTCGACGAGGAGACCATTCCAGCTGAACTTGAGCCCGGCGACGCCTTGATTTTCCTCGGGAATCTGTACCATGCGGGCGGAGGAAATGTTACCACGTAAGTGCATTGCCGGCGTATAGCAAGTAGGTATTCTTTGCTAAATTCTCATCGATAGGGATGAATACCGGGAGACTGTCGGCATCTTCCTGTGTCAGCCGACACTGCGTCCTGCAGAGAACCAGTTCCTCATGGTGCCGTTTGAGCGAGTGAAGAAGATGAAGCCGCAGGCACAACGTCTTCTGGGATATGGTTTATGCGAGCCGGGTGTTGGTTTCATGAAGTATCAGGACCCGATGCGAGTGCTCTTCGGTGTGGAGGACGAAGAGACAGTCGATTTCTAGTAGTCTACAGTCTCAGTTGGTAGGGCAGAATGAAGTTTCCGCCCCTATTCAAAGGACGTTGATATTGCTCATACCACAAGGACTCGCTGCCCTATGGCTTCTCTCATACGAGCGAGAGGACGCCAGTCGTTATCTTCGCCGGCCCAAAACTCCTTGAGAAAGTTCACCGCGTCCAAGTAATAACTGAAACGCGTGCCCTCATGAATTTCCATGAGCAAGCCCGCAATGATTTCTTGTCGTTGCCGATCTCCATGGCATTCGGTACCGGCAATGAACGTCGGCCAGGCTAGATTCTGAACGAAGGCAGCTAGGTCTTCGAATCCAGTCAGTTGGTCGAACAGACTGGCAACGGCCACAATGCGCTCCGAGGCGTGCTCGGTGGCGTAATCGAGGCACCTTAACGAGTAAAGTAGCCCCGCGTTATGATAAACCTCGACTAAGCGTATGAAGTCAAGAGACATGCTTGATCCTGCCAGTCCGAGTCGTCCGGCCGCCATCAACGTGGCGCCTCTTGCCTGCTCAAACTCGGATTGGATGAGAGGCATCGTCAGGCCGCTGCGTAAGTGCGATATTGAAGGGTGAGAATCAACAGCATCTGCCGAAACGAGCGTGATGCGGTGCAAGAAAGTCAGATACCTCGAAAACAGGAGATGCTCTGAGCCAGGTGCTGGTGTGACGGCGTTGCGTATGAGGGGCAGGTCACACGATGTCGTAGCTGCCAGTACATCATCTATAGCTAGTTGATTTCGCAAGAACGCAAACAGATCGCGGTTGTTGATTGAGCTCTGGCATTTGAAAAGGTTGACGATCGTCCTTGCCGCACGTCTGTGATCATCGGCGATTTGGAGGCGGCGACGGGCATTCTCGTAGTTGCACATGATGAGAATCGAAGCCAGCATCCATTCTGCATCAACCACGTCGCCATGGTCGTTCAAGTCATCACCCTTAATAAGCCGTGCCGTCATATCTTGGGCGCGGGTTTGGATTAGACGTAAGCACCTATCGCGAGCATTCTCAGCAACGGACTCATCAGGCACCGTCATGGCGCCGTGTTGAGCCGCGAACGCCATGATGGCGAAGCCGACTGCTGGTTGATTCGCGGCTAGAGGAACAACCTGTGTTCGGTAATGGTTTTCGTCTGAGTCCATCCATACCATCAGACCGGCTAAGTTCAGTCTATAATAGTCCATGAACACGCTTGTCAGGGAGTCGGGATACTTGCAAGGTCGAGTTGCTTGAGCGATTGGCGCATTCAGAACGACAACCGAACTCATGAAGTCTTTTCTTTTGTCTAGCTGGGATCTTTCAGTGAAGATGTCTTTCGAGTCCTCTTCTCGAAATGCGGCCTTATCTTCAGAAGACGGCCTCGTTGGGACGGTTCGGCCCCGCAGGTGTCCCCTTGCGGCAACCCCTTCCACCCATCGAAGTCGGCGGTCATAGCCAGGACATGGAAGTCCTTTCTTGTCACACTTGGCGCAATGGGGTCGCCGTCGATCGCAGCGAATTCGACGACGCTCACAGTTGGCGCAGCCTGGGGGGCTAATCAGCACACGGCATTGGCGATCGGCCGAAGGAGGGGACGAGCAATTGACGCACCCTTGAGTTGCTTTGGGGGCACTTCCACAGTAGACTCAGCAGCACCTCTTTGAACTTTCCCCTTCAACATGCTGCCGAAATCCCATGGCTCCGATAATCGTGATATGAATTGTATGCGAATGAGTGTGCAATGCTCAGTGGAGCTAGCCCGCGGTTGAATAGGATTTATCAACTAATTGCGGGGGTCCTGTCCCTCGACCTCGTCTGGTCTCTGGCCACGTGCCGATTGATCAACGGAAGGGCGTCCGATGCTTTGAGTTGCGAGGCTTGTACGCTAAAACAACACCCTAAGAACAATTCAACGAACAGTACATATTCATGATGATCTAGAATTCCGAGAAGCAACTGAGACGTCCTGCCAAATAAGCACGCGCTCTACCATGGCATTTGTGAGCACATAGCGTTCGAGGCGAGTCATGTTGACTGGCCACCGAAGAGGAGGATTGAATTACCAAAGAATTACTACAGTGTCTCTTACTCCGTGGTAACATTGTTCCAATCGTTCGTTTATCCCGTCGGTCCAAGTTTTTCTACCCCTCACTATTTTATCTATAAGAGTAATAATAGGCGTTGTATCCATGCTTGCCATGCTGACTCAAAAAGAGCTGATCAATTGCGGCGTAAGCTGGCACCGCGTCTTGTCGCCTGCAGCTACCTTACCTCGCGCAGTTGCCAACTGTACCAATGGTCACTTAGTGCTGCCTAAAGTCTTGCATTTCTCAGCCTCCTTCTGAGCTGTGCCGACCCCTCCTTATTCTCCTCTTTCAACAGACGAGTGTTCGATATCCTGCTATCTACGTTCATCCAAGCTTTGTTTCAGCGAGCGAATCGCCATGGAAGATGACTACATCCAACAAGCCAGAGTCTCCCCACACTGGGTGTCCGAGGGTAACACCTTCTGGTATCGCCAGAACCTCCCAGCCGGTAAATTCGTCTTCATATATGTTGACGCCATAGAGAAGCAGCGACGTCCAGCTTTTGACCATGACAAGCTAGCAAAGGCGCTTCAAGAGGGAACCGACCAAAAAGATGGAGAAATTGACGCTTTCAAGCTGCCCTTCACATGGATCGACCTTGAAGCCGAGTCATCCTCCGTCCGATTTCTCTATGAGGGAAAGAAATGGCGTTTTGACACTGAAGCAAAACTCAGTGAATGGGAAGGTGCGCTCAATCTGCCTACGACGCCATTCATCTCCAAAGAACGTGCATCTGTGCACTCGAACCACTCCGTCACTATCACTTTTGTCAACAACAGCAAGGCAGACTTGAAGAAGTACTGGATAGACTGGGAAGGCAAGCCAGTGCTTTATGGAGGGATTGGAAGTGGGTTAAGCAACACTCAAAGAACTTATGCCGGCCATGTCTGGAAATTTGTCGATGAGTCGGAGACTGTTAAGGCAATCTACGCCACACCCGAAGAGATTGTCTCCTCTGTGATCATTGATGAAAACACGATGGATGAGCTCGGTCCTCGGGACTCAGAAGACGGTGTTAAAAAGAGAGATGGCGAGGAAACAAGCCCAAAGTCAGACTTGAGCGAGAAGGGCTCGCCCCACCTCTTTGTGCGAGGTTTTGACCTTTGGTGCCGGAATGCAGACAAGGAAGAGGTTCGTCTTTCAGACAACGGCGCCGAAGACAATCAGTATGATGATTCAAACATCTGGATATCTTCAGACAAGAAGTTTTGTGTCGCCTGGCAATTCGTCCCTGAGGAAGAGCACAAAGTGCACCTTCGCGACTCTGTTCCGAAAGATCAGCTTGAGCCGAAGCCTAAAAGCATCCGGTACCTGAAGGCTGGAGATCGCGTCAGAGTTGATCGTCCTCGTTTGTTTGACCTAGAAACGAAGAAAGAGGTCGTCACAGACGCTGCTTTGTTTCAGACCCCCTACGAACTTCGGAACATAGGATGGAGCCGTGATTCTTCGGAATATCGCTTCATATACAACGAGCGTGGCCATCAACGTCTACGTGTCATAGGAATCAATTCAGACGGCTTTGTTAGGGCTCTAGTTGAAGAGAGCAGTGATACATTCATTGACTACTCCACGAAGCTCAATCGACGTTTGATAAAAGATACCGATGAACTCATTTGGGCTAGCGAACGAGACGGCTTCAACCACCTTTACCTTTTCGATCTCCAATCAGGGAAGTTGAAAAGTCAGATGACAACAGGAAAATGGAATGTGAAAGATTTCGTTCGTTTCGACGAGGAAGCGAGAGTGGTTTGGTTCTCAGCTTGCGGAGTAGTCCCTGATCAAGATCCGTACTATACGCACTTGGCTCGCGTCAACTTCGATGGGACGGGATTCAAAGTGCTGACCGATGGAGATGGCACACACCACTGGACAATCTCTCCGGGGCAAGGATACTTTTTCGACACATGGTCGCGGGTGGATTCGCCCCCACGCACCACTCTGAGAAAGATGGAAAATGGAGAGCTGGTCGTACATCTCGAAGGTGACGAAGGGGATTCTCATCGTTTAGAATCAGACGGCTGGGTAGTACCTGAAAGATTTAACTGCCCTGGGCGGGACGGCGAAGAGTCTATCTACGGTATAATTGTTCGCCCTCCAGATTTTGATCCCAAGAAAAAGTACCCCATTCTAGAATCTGTCTACGCAGGCCCGCATGGGTTTCACGTACCAAAGGAATTCAGTGCCCTGCGTTCGCGCCGACAGTGGGCAGAACAGGGGTATATTGTCGTTCAAATTGATGGCATGGGGACGAATTGGCGATCAAAAAAGTTCCAAGACGTTAGTTGGAAAAATCTCAAGGATGCCGGGTTCCCTGACCGCATAGCCTGGATCAAAGCTGCAGCAGAGACTCGGCCGTGGATGGACACGAACAGAGTTGGGATCTTTGGGGGATCGGCAGGCGGACAGAATGCCGTGGGGGCACTTCTGTTTCATGGCGATTTTTACAAAGCAGCCGTCGCCGATTGTGGATGCCACGATAACAGAATGGACAAGATATGGTGGAGCGAGCAGTGGATGGGTTATCCAATCGACAAGGCATACGAGGATTCATCGAATGTGGTCCATGCTAGCAAATTGACGGGAGCGCTATTACTAATCGTTGCAGAGATGGACGACAACGTTGATCCCGCGTCGACTCTGCAGTTGGTGAATGCTTTGAATGATGCAGACAAGGACTTTGAGTTACTCTACATGCCTGGAGCTTATCATTGTTCAGGCAGGACCAAGTATGCTCTGCGGCGACAGGAGAAATTCTTCAGACAACATCTGCAAGCCTCTCAGTAGCAGCACGATCCTTCCAACTCAAGAGTCTGTTGAGAAACCCACTAGTTAAGAGGCATGTAGAATCTGCCACAAACAAGCGGTTACAACCCGAAGTTCAATCTTCCTGAGCTTGAAATTGGAAGACATTTCCTGTGATATGGGATCTCCCAACGCTAATTCTATTACGCTACTCTACAAATTATGATTTCCATGCCGGGCTCTAATACAGATGAAAGTCGAAAAGCTGCCGATGATGTCGGTGCAGATAAGCTCAGGTCGTATTCTTAGAAAGCACCCTGATGATCTCAGACTTTCCGTGCTCGAATCAAAACCTGATGCTCCGGATCTGGGAGCACGTTCACTCCAAATTCCACATTCTTGGATCGGGGTTGTCCATCTAAGTTCTTGATCTCATAGTTTAGAAGGAACTCCGCAAACATGAGCTTAATTTCGACATCGGAAAGGAATCTGCCCGGGCACGCATGCCTGCCGAAACCCCAACCAAGTTCCGTACGAGTGACGCTGACAAATGAGTGCTTGTGTGCCATCCCGTCTTGCTGGCGTTGACGGTACGACCGCATGCCATCGAACTTATGCGGATCGGGGTAGATGGAAGCGTCAAAGTTGATAGCGCTGGTTGGTAGTTCCATCTTGGTACCGGCAGGGATGTAAGTCCCGTCTTTTAGGGTCACAGGCTTCGTGGCCATGCGCTGGAAGGTAGCTTCGAACTCGTAAGAAACCGAACTTGATTCTGGTGGGAAGACGCCGACTTACTCAGATCAGGTGCATTCATTCTCAAACTCTCCTTCATCCAGCTGTCAATTTTCTTCATCTCAGCAAGTGACTTCTTGGTAAAGATGCCACCAGAACTCTCCAAAACCTCCACAACCTCCTGACGAAGCTCTTCGGTGTACTCAGGGCATGCGGCAAGATCGTATAAAACTTGGACCATGGAAGACGAGGTTGTGTGGATACTCGCCACGGCGAGAGTCATCTGCAGCAAGAGTTGTAGGTCCAGGTCACCGGCCTTATCTGCGTGTTCCCCGCTAGACAGGTGGTCGAGCATGGTGGGAGGGTTCTCCAGAGGTGCACCACCCAAGGCACTTTTCCTGGCAATGGAATTTGCGACAATTTCGCGCCCTTTGGCCCATTGTTTCTCCTTCTCTAGGCGTTCCGGTAGGAAGTAGGCGACGAACGGACGCAGGAAAGGAGGCCACTGCTTGAGAGCCGAGCCGTATTCGATTGCAGTGTGTACGAATGACATTGAGAGGTTGGTCCATGCGGGATTTCGGGCTGCTTCATCGCTATGCATGATTCTCGCAGACAGGATCGCCACAAGCTCGAAGAAGTGCTGATAGGGTTTTACTGGTGTCCAATCTGGAGGAAAATTAGGCAAAGTGATGTATGATAGGACCATGGATCTCACCTGTCGGAGATCCAAGAAATTTCGGAAGGTGTTCTTGGATCATTCCATGGAAGACAGGAACGTAAGCACCTTTTGCCTTGGTTAGAATTACGCTCCTGGAAGATTATAAAGAATTCAACAAACCCAAGCTGGGGTTCATCTTTGCTAGAATCTGATGTACCCCCCAAGCGTCGACACCTCCAATACCTGTGTAGTTGACCAAGGCATCCTAGAAAGCAATGTCAGTATACATCATGACTTATTGATAATGAAATGAACTTACATTGTCGATCGAGGCTTTGAAGCTCAATGCCGGGTGACTCTTCAGCTCATCGACACTTGCAAGGGGCAAGACGACTTTGACACCTACACAAAGTCAAAAACTTCTTCACCAGTTCTGCAAAAGAAAAAAAGTAGACATACCAT